AAAACAAATCAAACTTTTGGCAAAAAAGTCAATACATGGAAAAAAATAAAAATAAACTTAACGCAAGCAAAAGGTTGAAATCAAAATCAAGTTCAAAGACAATCACAAATACGGACAAAACCGGTCATACGTTTAAAAAAAAGAACTCTTCTGATTGTAAATATTTAGGGATTTATTTAGAAATATTTGGGAGAAAATGTGGCACAAGGCCAAAAAGGGGGATTGGGAAAAGGACGGTCTTCTTCTGTCTTAACCATAAACTTAGCTAGCCACAAACACTGACCCAATCATAAGAACAATATTCCTTTCACCAAAACAACACATTCCATACCTTTCTTACTACAACCACCATAATACCTCTTTGTCTCTATGAAAATACTAACTAGTCCCATATATGTACAATTTGTTGTCTGTGGGGGGAGGGAATAAAACAACAATTTTAAAAATAACCCCAATGAGTATTTACAATATGAATATAAAAACTATTTACAAGAAACTAAAGAAAATCGTGTTAGTAATAAAACCCCCCACAATCACTAAATGTGGCAGAAACATCAGTTAACTGGACGAAATTAATGCGGGACTATAAAAAGTAAAAACATTCATTCATCCCAAGCACTCACACTGACATGCACTCATTCAGACACAACAACAAATACGGAAAAACACACACGAAACGAAACGAAAGGCGCCCCGCATCCACCAGAGAACTGACATCACTGACCACCTAAAACGAGGGAGGGGATGGGGAATTAAACTTAAAAAAAAAAAAAAGGGACAGAAATAAAAGGGACCAATGAGCATACATACCCTAGCTAAGTTGAAAAAAAAGAAAAACTAAAAAGCATCAAAAAAAAAACCTAATCTAACCTAATTTTCGGGATGGGTTGTACATGTTCAACCCAGGAAAACAATATCCTGATGCCTAACCAGCATCAAAATGCCACTCAAGGTCAGCCCCTTTCACACGACACAAGGACGATTCGCACCTTTTCACCCACCTTTTGCTGAATTTTGATGAAGTGAGCCGCCGCCTTTCCGTCCTAATCTTGACTTTAAGCTGATGCTTAAAGTACAAGATCAGTTGGGAAGAGGTGAACTTCTCGCCTCCATAGAATCCCTTCTGACGTGTCGTCCAAATCACGACTCTCATAACACCTAGCAAGCATAAGAACACATAGTATTCAGCCTTCGTCCGCAGCGGTGCCACATTGCTACAAACAGAACGGCTTGAAGGACAAAAAACTTTCCCTGCAGCATGCGAACCATGAGGCCTTAAACAAACTTGCACAACGACACTACCACCGCTGCAGTGATGAAAAGGCGTGACCAATGGTCTCGACCTCCCCACTACAAGCGTCGGCAGTTTGGATATTTCTCCAAGCCTGCTGAACAAAGTCTTTTGGCGACCCAGAGGGCCCTACGAATCACCAGCCAGGTGAGTGATGCCTCATCGTTATTGAGACATTTCAACCCGGGCGCCCAAGGCCATATTGATCGAGCCTCCTGCTTCGTAAGACCGAGCTCGTCAATCAGATCATCTTGAACGGACCCCTAACTAAAAACTTGATATAATGCCTTACGAGACAACGCCTGGACGTTGGAGAGGCCATCCGACGCCCGTAAGAGGCGTTTCAGAGCACGACGACATTCACGATAGAAGGAGCATTCGGCTCGGGGTAAACGGTGGGCCTCCTCCTCACACGAGTGCACACTTCTCAGGGATGGGAAGTTCTTACGGGCGTCTTCCTTCCAGAAGGCGCCCTCCTCATCCGAATCGCGACACATTCGATCCAGAAAGGTAATGCGAAGCATATATTGACGAATCTCAATGCTAGGCATGCCCAGACCGCCTTCAGATGGATGAAGGCAACAGATCTCCGAGAGACTCTGGGCCTTGCCTCCCCACAAAAAAGAGAACAAGAGCCTTCACTAACGCCATTAAAGTGTCATACGGAAGTGGAAGCACAGAGAGTCGGTAAAGGAGAATCGGATAGATGTGAAACACAAACTTCCGCCCTCCCTTTAGGGAAAGATTCCTCCGAGACCACAAATTAATTGCGATCTCGGCCTTCCCTTGCACCTCCGACCAATTCATTTCCAACTGGAGATCAGGACCGAACCAGACGCCGAGAATCTTTGGCCCATCCGTCCAGAGGAAAGGTCCGGGAAGAGAAACTCCTTCCACGCACCCAACCGCAAGCCAACAGACTTATCGCGGTTGATCTTGGCCCCTGTCACCATCTCATAACCACTGATTTCTTTGCTGACTTCGTCAATCTCGGCTCTGCTCGACACAAGAGCCGAAACGTCGTCAGCATAGGCAGAATACCTGGCCGATGTGGTAGCACCAGGCAGGGAAATTCGCCGCGTAGGACCGGATTCGCCTTTAACTTGCGAAGGAAAGGTTCCAACGCAAGAACGTAAAGCAAAGGCGAAAGCGGACAACCTTGACGAATGGAGCGAGACAATACGAAAGGCTCCGATCGTACCCCATTCACTTCCACCAGCGCACCGGGGTCGCATACAGAAGTCGGATCCAGGTGCGAAAGTACGGCCCGAAACCGGCCGCCGAAAGAACAGCCTCCAGAAAATGATGGTCAACCCTATCGAAGGCCTTGGACTGATCTAAATTGATCAGCGCGGCTTCACTGTCGACTTGCTCGATGATCAGGCGCACCATATGAAGGTTGTCCTGAATAGTCCTGCCCTTCACAGCACAAGTCTGTTCGGAGCCAATCAGACTAGACAGGACAGCCTGCAAACGGTTGGCTAAGATCTTAGCCAAAATCTTTAACTCTGTGTTTAACATAGTTAAAGGGCGAAAGTTACCTAACCCATCCCCACCGTTTTTGTTCTTACGTAACAACTTGATCACGCCCCTGGTGAAGCGTTGGGGTATAGACCCCTGCTTCATCCAGTTGCCGAAAATCAGTGCCAGCAAAGGAACAAAAACGGGCGACTGCCTCAAGTAAACTTTGTACGGAAGACCATCTAGTCCCGGAGATTTGTCCAGGCCAACCTGTTTCAGCGCATCCCAGATTTCCGACTCTGTAATGGGACCCTCGCACCTAGCTGCTTCAGCTGCCTCGAGGCAGGGAAAGTCAGCTAAATAGGTGTCGAACTGAGCAGAGCTCAGACCGGGCTCCCTGGTGAAAAGATCCTGAAAGTAGTCACGAAAAGCCTCACATATGCCCTCGTTTGTAGTCACGGTCCGCTTATCCGGCAATGTGACGCTCGCGATATGTTGAGATGCATACCGAGCTTCCTCTGCACGCAATTCAGCGGCCATATTCGTCGCCTCAGAGGACATTCTTTTTAACCTAGCCCTAACTACCAGAGCTTGATCCTTCTTGATAAGCAAGGAGGCCAACTCTGCCTTAGCTAAGGCTATTTCCCCACTATCACGGGATTTAACCGCCCGATCAACTTTTTGCTCTAAAGCCGTTTGCGCCGCTAATCTATCTAGATTGAGCCGACGACTATAATCAGCAGCAAACGTTCTAATTTTGGATTTTAATTTATCCCACCAGGCATTTCCCACAACCGCCCCCGTCAGTTCCCCTCTATCATTAGTAAAGCTGGTCCCGGAAATCTTGCTCACCAAATAATGAACAGTTTAATTTCCAGTAACCAGCCATCCTAACCTTAGGCTTATCTAAGTTTACACGGACCCGGACAAGCCTATGATCCGTAATAAACTATATAATGGAAACTTGGACACCCTAAGAGCCCTACATCAACTCTCCTAACTAAGACTCGGTCGGTCTAGATAACTAGCCGAGCCGCCACTATTAGTCCAAGTCCACACTACCTCCTGAGGGTGTTCATTCCGGTACTTATCGACAAGATCAAACCTGTCGATAAAGTCCCGAAATGGTTTCACGTCAGGGTTGTTAGTAGTACCCTATGCGATCTATATCGGGTCAAGGACGGCATTCCAATCACCCGCTAAAACTACCCGACGTGATGTCGTCAAAAACGGCTCGATCCGCCGAAACAAAGCAGGCCGCTCAGAATGGACATTGGGCGCATAAACCCCAATGAGACGAAAGCCTTATCCTTTATGGTAACATCCAGCACGCAAAGCCTGCCCGCCGGATCTGCGAAGACAAGAACACACGCAGCCTTCAAAGACTTGCTCACCAGCCAAGAGACACCCCTCGAGCGTCCATCAAAACATGCTGAATAGAGGGAAACCCCCTAGACAGAATGTTCCTCATAGTCACGAGAAGAAAAACGGGTCTCTTGCACACAACAAATATTCACCCCGAGACGCTGAAGGTCGCGAGAGAGCCTCGCCCTGCGAGACTCGGACCTCAGGCCAGAGAGCCATGAGAAGTCCGATTAGGGTTGTTTACCAGCATTAAACATGGCGGGGTAAGGATACCGACAGCCTCTCCCATAGACCCATGGCCCATCTCATTCTTGATGGTGCCATCTTGGGAGATACCACCAATATCCCAGGGGAAGGTCAATTTTAAGAGCTCTATATAGGGATGGGTGCACTAAAATGGGGACCCTCCCTGCACAGAACTGTTTTAACTTTTTTAAATTATCATTCTCAAAAATGGCAATGGGCAAAGCCATCTTACATGCATTAATGGCTTCATCTACCATCGCCAAGTTTGTTTAGCAGCAGAACCTGTCCTAATAACTGTGAGGACCCTCTGGGCATTTGGGAAATTTTATGGAGTCTCAATGTCCAGGTCTGCAAACTGCTTAATCGAGAGAAGGTATTTGAGGTCTTTAACCCTATTGCCATAATCTCTGGCTTTCTCGGCCTGGGCTGGGGAAATCCTGCACACTTCCTTTCCTGAGTTAAAATAAATCTTTTTTTTTTTTTTTTTTTCCTCTTTTTGCTTCTTGAGTGGGGCTTCTTTGCCGCCTGTGCAGGAGGAGGCATCTCAAATTTTTGCGGTGATTGCTTTCTTTGAAGGGGTGGATTTTTTTGTTTAACGGGAAAGGAGGGGTGTATTCAGATGGGTATAAAAGGATCTATGCCTATAGGGGCTGGGATCTCTACTGTTGGGTTTAGCTTTGGAAGGTGAAATAGCAGGCGATGGTGGGGGGTTGTTTTTTGTGAAGGGGTGGGTCTAGTAGAGGACGTTAAAACAGACTGGGACTGAGTCAGATGAAACTGAGAACTGGTCTTTTATTGGCTAGGAAAAAATCCCAGCATGCATTTGTGTGTTTCAGTCTATAAATTGGAGAGAGGAAAGTATTTTGCTGTCATTCCCAGTCTGAGAATGACAGCAAAATAAGTTGTCATAAGCCCCAGAATCTGTTGAGATTTCTTAGAGAGTGTTGATTGGCTTGAAGGTCATTCCTTGGTCCACTGACCTTTCTCGACCTAGAGGTAGTGGAAGGTATCAATGAAGGATGCACTCTGTGCGTGGCTCAGCTTGTCAGTGATAGTTGCAATCTTTCTGGTCTTGGGTGCTAGTGATGGATTACCTCAGTAACCCTGAGCGATTGATTTGGAATGAATTATCTCTCGATGACATAACCTTTAGAGGGATCTGCCATGGGTATGATCTTGGTCTAGAAGAAACTGCTTCACACGCCTTCTCCAACTGTCCTTTTGGGTTTACTCTGATTTTTAACATATTAATGGTGAGCCTCCACCCCACTCCTAACCTCCTCCAAACAATAAAGTATTATACTTGTTTTGGGATTAAAAAAAAGAAATTTATTAAAATGTGGTCAGTTTCAAATAACTTTGGTAGGATTTTTGAGACAATAGGCAATACGTCACAATGAAATCAGTATTTAAAGTTAATCTAGCAATGATAACATGAATAATTTTTGTAGTGTGCAAATAAAAATAAGTCAATGTTTTTGTTATTTCTAGCAAAAAGTCTTGTATGAAAAGGGAATTCGCAGAATTACATTCCTGGTTTTATTTAAGGTAAGTTTTGACAGTGTACAATTTTTTGTATTTGAGATGAACTGTCATTTCGGCTACAAATTTACTTTCTATATATTATAAAATGTTTTTGAAGTAATCATTTTAGAACGGCCTCTCACATTTTAAGGTGCAACAAATCATTTTAGTATCAGCCTCTCATGAAAGGCAGAGCCTCTCAGATTTTAAAACATTTTAAGACGGCCTCTCACATTTTAAGACGGCCTCTCACATTTTAAGACGGCCTCTCACATTTTAAGACGGCCTCTCACATTTTAAGACGGCCTCTCACATTTTAAGACGGCCTCTCACATTTTAAAAGAATTATTTTCTCACATTTTAAGAAACCTCTCACATTTTAAGGTTGGCCTCACATTTGGAAGTGAGACAGGCCTCTCACATTTTAAGGATAGATACCTCTCACATTTTAAAAGCTTAAATCATAATTGTAAATTGATTTAACTTAATAAAAGTATAAGATAAAGCATATCACTTGGACTTTCAACAAGAGCAACAACTAAAATGGATAAATGTAACTTGAGAAAATAAATGCCGAATGTTTCCTTACAAAAAAAAAAACTGCTTATACAGAGTTCTGCAAGAAATAGCTCCTAGAAATACCCTTCCACATAAGACCTTAGTGGCAATGGTATCTTCATCTAGCTAATGTCTTACCATTATGTGGGACATATTTATGCCGCACCTTGTATTACCATTATCATGTGACATGCCATGACATTTGTTATACATGGTCATACTTTCAAGACCTTTTTGATTTTGTTCTTTCATTTTGATCTCTGACCCTTCTTACGTCCTGAAACTGAATAGGATAACAAAGATATTCTTTAAGTGGCTCATTTGATCCAGAGCAAAATTCTCTAGAATTTTTTCTTTACGTGCAGATTTTCAGAGGTTGCTAAAGATAAATTTATATATTACAATCTAAATTTTGAAATCTCGACAATATTTAACTGATTTTATGAAAATTAAAAATCAGTGGTAATAATAAAAAAAATTTAAAGGTCTCTCATTGTGCAATGTTCTTGTTTAGTATTTTGAAGTGAAAACCTTGTATAAATTATTCCTGTGAATTTTGTCAAATAATAAAAAAAAAAAAAAAAAAATAGATCTATATCTTACAGAAGTCTTTTCTCTTACGCTTGCATTCTTTCTATTAAATGCATTAAAAATTTGTAAAAAAATTGATATTTCAGTGTGAATTCCCTAAATTTTTCACTTTCCGGGCAAGGTTTCAGGTAAATATTTGAATTGGAGATTTTCATTTATTAAGGCAAAAGTAGGTATACAGTAATGGAAAACAAAACGTGCACACAAAATGTGTTGTATTGATTATAATAAAATATCAATAATAAACATATATCAATCCCTCAAATGTTAACTGTTTGTCCCCGTCACTTACATACTCCACTTTACCTACAAAATATTTATTATTACTTATTATAAATATTTTAATGAATTAAATGAATCCTAGAACCACTATTATAATACTTATTGTATACCTACTTTTGCAGCCTCCTGCATTTTATAACATTTTATTTTTTTGTCAATATATCTTAACTTTTTTTAATGAATGATTTAAAAATATTCTTACATAAAATTTCTCATTGTTCTCTTATCCTTTTAAACTTATTATGTATGATTTTGTAGACTGGTTAAGTTTTGATAAGGTAACATTTTGAATCGTGAATATATTTGTTTAATAGTTTGAGAATTATTAATGGTAATGGCACTAAATTTTAATTTTTTTACCTTTCAGTTTGAAGAAGACAAAATTTATCGTCATTTAGAACCTGCTTTAGCTTTCCAACTGGAAATCAACCGATTGAGAAATTTTGATTTGGAGGCCATTCCAACAGCCAATCACAAAATGCATTTATATTTAGGAAAAGCTAAGGTATGAAATCAATTTATTACCTAATTAATAGTTTCAAATATATTCTATTTGTATTTATTTTATTTAATTCAAATCTTGAGTAAAATGTTTGTCCTAAACTTCTGACTTTTAAGAACTAAAAACGAGAAATGGAGTTCAAACTTGTTAACATTTTCATATTGTAATTTAACTTTTATATGGATTAGAATCCAACACAATGATAGGATAAGAAACAAATAGGAAACGTTTATAAGCATAAGAGAGGCCCTGTATATTAAACATCTCTCTCCTACTATCCACCTTGTTTAACAATGGAAGTAGTGTGCTGAAAGTTTAAAAAAAAAAAAAATAGAAAGACGCTTACTCGAATTCCAGCTGTACTCAACACACGAAGGCTTGGAATAAAAACTCTTACTAGTATTTAAAACACAAAAAATACATCTCAAACAGTTAAAACATGAAGAGAAACTAACACCAAAACAAAACTCCTTTGAAAATGGCTAAGGAAGTGGCTGGAAGTATTTGGGACAATGGATGGTATGGACAGTGTTATAGACAAGCGTATGGTTGCAAGAAAGAAATACGACAACAGTAAAAATAGATTTACGTGGTTTATTTCAACGTGAACGTGTGGGTTTGGGACAGCTACCTTGTGGTAAAGTTCATAAGCCGGTTTCTGATCTAGGTCAACCTCTCATAGTAGTTCACACATGTTGACGGTGGTTGACGCTCCCCTGCTGTCAGCAGCTGATAGTGACAGGTCTCTATCCTGGGCACCTGTGGACTGCCTGTTGAACTTCCGTGTGACCCCTTTATAGCGATTTTTATGGCTTAACAGGCTCGAGAAATGAAGCGAGTATAATTAGGAGGGAAGCATTTTTATTGGACGAAAAATAGAGCACTTTAAATATTTTATTTTTCGACCGGAACACGTGTGTCGGGAACCTTTGTAAAGAAAGTTAATGGTCATTTTGTGACGGGGCTTTGTCCTGTTCACATCCGGTTCTCGCTCTTAAGTATTTGCCTGTAAATCAGCCGAGATATGTCTTATTTTATTTTATAACAACAGTTTTTGTACTCTCTCACCCCCCACAAAATGCCAAAATGTAAGGACTCTGGAAAAACAAAAAAAAATACATTAATAAAATTTTCCTTGTCTGTCATATTTAACAAAAGATGTTTAAAAGGCAGGTTGAAAATATAATATACATTAATATATATATATATATATATATATATATATATATATATATATATATATATATATATATATATAAAAAAACATGTAAACAATTAGTGTAAATGTTAATCTTAGTGATAGAATGTTCTCATAGAATACTCTACTCTAGAACTGTCACTAGTAAATACAGGGTGCAGCAGAAATACATCCCACATAATGGTAAAACTTTAGCTTCATGAAGGCACCATTGCCCTCTAATGTCTTATGTGGAAGGCATTTCTGCCACACACTATAAGTTTTAACTCTGAACATAATTTTATTAATATAACAAAGAAAATTTTAATGAGTTGTTAATTTGTGAGTTTGTTTTTAGTTCCACTTCTTAAAAAAAAAATTGTTTGAAAACACATTGGATCTTTAGTGTTGATTGAGAATGTCTTGAACTGATTAATATAAAAATATTGTGCAAAAGTTGAATGTATAAATTTCTAGTAAGGATTTTATGCTCTTCTGAAGTATTACTACACAATTCCTCTATTTTGTACACTTTTCATCCTAATTCAATGCTTATTAACTTAGAAAATTATTTAAGTAATCTTAAAACTTGTATTTTGTAATAGTGGATCAATTATTAACTCCATTTTGATTTACTGTTGTATTGTTTCATCTACGGAAAATATTAGGTTATATGAAAATTTTTTTTTTTTTTTTTTTAAATCATTAGGCTACAAGCTTATCAATGTTTGAGGGAGTGCTGAAAAGATCTTGGCCTAATTTTCCCAAAAAAAATCCCCCCCCCGGCCTGAAAGATAATTTTTCAGTACCCACCCTCGTATATTGTACCATATGAACCAAGTAATTGCTCTAATTTAATTTTTGTTTTAGGTTGCCAAAGGACAGGAAGTTACAGACTATCGTTTCTTTGTCCGTTCAATCATTAGGCACTCGGATCTTGTAACAAAGGTTTGTCTCTTATTTTTTATACAGTAAACCAACCCTTTTATTTTAATTGATATCAGATCTGAAACAAAATGTATATCAGTAATTAAATGTTTATATTTTTTTGAATGATAGCAACATAGAAAATTGCCTTTTTAATTATTACAAGTAATTATGCACCTTGACTGTAATTATTACAATTTATTTATTTGTGGGTTTTATTTTTATTTTTTTTTTTTAATAAAAAAAAAAATGTATTTTTCTACCATGTTCACTTGAATTAGTCACACTATCTACCTTGATTTATCTTTCTTGAATTACATATGTGGAAATGTCTTTCCCTGGATTTGAATTTGTATTTCTTTGTTTTCTTCAGGAAGCTTCTTTTGAGTATTTGCAAAATGAAGGCGAGCGAACATTACTGGAGGCCATGGATGCCTTGGAAGTAGCATTTTCCCATCCATCTGTAAATATGCTTAGTTTCCTTTTCAAATTTAAGATTGAATATAAAACTGAATTTAACTTCAGTGTTTGTTTTTCCTGGTCAGTTATAACTTGTCCTTTGTTATTACAGAATCCTTTTAGGAATACAAAAGAATTTTATGAAAATTTTAATTACCAATACCAAAAATTAATATTTTCACAATCCGTGTAATGTTTAAAGTATTTTTATTTTCAAAGACATGTCATCTTTGAATAACTTTGTGTTTATTCATAATATGATAGATGCTTTGTACATATATTTTAACAAAAGCATATTAACTTTGTGAAATTAATACAAACATGGTGAATTTAATTTCATTTATCAAAACAAGTTTTGATAAATTCAGAAGGCAGACCTTTGCCTAACATAAGAGTTCCTAAACAAATTTTGATGTTAGGTCATATGTTGAAGTGTTAAGCAAAGAACTTTTCAGTGCCTTATATATATATATATATATATATATATATATATATATAGAGAGAGAGAGAGAGAGCTACCCATAATGCACCATTTACTTACATATATAAATAGTTGAACCAAAACACAGCACACATTTTTGTTTAGTAATGTAAACACTTTTATTTCATGAACATTGGGGAAAGACTTTAAATGTATCACAAAACTACATATTGGATTAGGTAGTAATTGTTAGAGCAAATGTGGCATTATGGTATCTGTAAGAAGTATAATTTTGCAATGTTTTGTGAGTTCAGACAATGTTGAGTTATTAGAAAATATTTATATAAATATATAAGCTAAAGAAAATTCCTTTACATACACACTTAGCCTTCAAAAAAATTGTAAGGACAATAAAAAAAATAATTACAAAATATTCCTTGTTCATTATATTCAACAATAGAACATGTACACATTTTTGAAATCCTAAATAAAAATGCAGCAGATGCAATTTTCAATATCTCCATATTTGTTTCCACTGCACATTATTTACAAAACCTTCTCTACTGTAAGGTTTAAAGATAATACAAAATTGTTGCTAGAGAATAAACATAACCTTTAATTATTGACATCAATTAACAAAAATATGTAATGACTATTATGGGACACACAGCATTAGTTTATAAAGGTCATAATTAGTTTAATGGATTGACTTATAATCAACATTTGATATTACATAATGTGAAAATAATCTCTTGTAAAAAAAAAAAAAAATATCCTTAAAACTCTTGTATTTTGTTTTCAGTCCAAACGAACAGATTGCAATCACATTTTCCTGAATTTTGTCCCTACTTTGACTCTGTCAGAACCTGGAAAAGTAAGAACTTATTTTTGTCTCTTTTCATTAACAAGTGAAATATTACTTTTTAGACTATTTAGTTATAAAAGGGGCCTATTTGATAAGGCTAGTGGGCCAGAAAGATATTTGTTCACTACTGTTGAAGGATTTAAATAATAAACAAACTTATATAGGTACATAATTTTGAACCTAGGATCCCCAGAAAAACTAAGGTAAAAAATTCAAGAATATGTTGTGAATATCCTATTATAATTGTACTTGTTTCTCCCAGCCTTTGCATGTCTGTTACACCCTGCCAATACTACATAAATAATGGACTGTTGTTTTGATCACCTGGAAAGAAGGGAAAAGATATTACTTGGTTTTAGTGAGAAAATGAAAGAAAGAAGGGAAGATAGAAATAGAGGAGAATCATATTAAATTGATACTATACTAGTAGCATGGCCCGGCGTTGCCTGTGCTTGATTAAAAAATTGTACGACTCGTACAGCAATCGCTATCACTTGACTTAAAATATTTTTGCCCTTCCTTGCCTTTAAAGGAGTGCCGTTTGCCATGCTGATGTTGCTACATGCCTTACTTCTTGCCTATCTCACACTGTGAATTTTTTTCTAAGCTCTATACTAAATATTAAATCTGTGTTTGAAAAAAACTAAACAAAATGAACACAAAACAATCAGCTTTAAAAAGGACTCGTAACTGGAAAAACCGAATGAAAAAAGAATGTTAACAACAAATACTTTTTCACATCCAACCCAGTTCTGCGGAATCAGAATCAACGTCGAGTTTAAGCAAGCGAATGAGCCAATTGGAGTAAAGTGCCATGCAGATTTAAATTTTTCCCACTTGTGATGAATGCAGCTATTGATTTTTTTTTTTTTTTTTTTTTTGCATGCTAGTTAACATTTGTGTCAGTCAGCTGTTGGCTCTCACGCTGGCCAATACAATCTTCCTGTCTATTTGTGGCAGCCAGCTATAGGCTCTCACTCTGGCCAGTAGAAATGATTGATTTAAACTACATGAAAACTGTCGTAGAAGCATGAAAAAAATCGATTATTTCCACTATTGATGGGAGTTAGGAAATGCAAAGTTGGTCTTGACCTTCCCACTAACTTGGAGCATGTGCATGTAAATTTTGGTACAAATCTGTCGAAAATTGCGGCCGTGCATTCGTCTCACTCACACACACACACATCCTGCCTTTTATAGATAGACATTTTGATCTTAGCCAAGAAGCTAGGGTGACTGTGATAAAAGCATCATTTTATTTTTTAATTTTTTAATTTTTTTTTTTTTAATTTTTAATTTTTTTTTTCACATGCATAGTGAATGATGGAAACTGAGTAAGGCAATTGCCAAAAATCCATTTATCATAGATAAAAATAACATCGTTTACTGAATTATTTTTAAATTATTATTAAGAAAAATGTTCAGAAGATGGAGATTGGGTTAGTTTTTTTTTTTTTTTATTAATGATTCTCGGGACAAGGAGGATCAGTTTGTAGATTTAAAAAATTTTTTTTTTTCCTTATTACTGTAATATAAATTAAATATGGCAATATTCTATGTCTAAGGTTCATCAGGGCATCTTTTAATAGGTTGAACCCTGTGACCTTTCCAATATACTCTACCAGAAATATTTTGGGTGAACGTTACTAGAACTACCTATGGGGCAACAAATTGACAGTAAAGAGCATAAAATAGCAAGTACAAAGGTGCTCATATGAAGAGCCTGATTTTCTGGGATGAGGTGTTACATATAGACTATTGTCATCACCTTTGTTACTATCACAGTGTTTTGACTGTTGCGCCCTCTAACCTTCATTTGGTGCTTGTCACTCAGAGTGGCCTTCAGGGAATATTAAAATGAATCCTTTGTTTAATCTATGGGGGTAGATTGTTTTCGTTCTGCTGACCATATCTAGGGATATCTTGTTTTGTTCTTATTGTTTTGTTCAGTTATTGCCGTATCAATTTCTACTGAGTTCAAATACACATTACCCGACACAGGGATTGAACACAATTACTGTGTCACTAAATTCATGAACTAACTCATTAATTCGCTAGGTTAGATTGACTTTCAAATTGAATTACTACAATCTTCCTTTATTATACTGTTGACGAGTTATCAAAATTTTATTTTGAATAGTCTTATCCTTAATCATTTGAATATCATTCAAGATATTTCAAAGATTTTTGTTAGTTTTGTATATCCTAAACATTTATGCATTTCACATCACTGATGAGAAATAAAGGTAGATGATTTACAATCAATTTAACAACTTTGATTAAAAGACAAATAGTACTAAATAGTCTCAAGAAATTGACTTTTTTTTTTTTTTTTTTTTTTTTGTGACAGCTTGAAGACACTGTACGAAATATTGTAATGCGCTATGGCAGTCGTCTATGGAAACTTCGAGTGATGCATTCAGAACTAAAGTTTACTATCAGGTTGGTTTGAATCTTTTTTTTTTTTTTTTTTTTTTTTTTTTGTGAGGTGGGTAAATTAACCTTTAAGGAATCATCAACTGCTGCTATGTCAGTTGACTATTAAAATCTCTTTATTTTTGCATGTGTATAATATAGATAATCACTTTGTATGAATAAAGACAAAAGGAAAACTTAACTTAGAAGAGTTTCATCTTCTGATAGACTTTATGAAGGCAAATGTAAGGGTTTTATTTTGCAACAAATATTTATATAAAAAAAAAACATGGAAAAAAAAAATTTGTGTACATAATTTATCAAATGCATTAGTCATACATAGAAATAAATTCGACCACAACTTTGATCTTAAGAATTTCACACTTTTTAAAAGAGAAAGAGACTGCTTTAAACAGAAAATTTAGTGCTGCTATCAAATATTGCCAAAATAAAAATCTGCATCCCTGATTTTTATTTTTTTTTTATTAAATATCTCCATTCCTAAAAGAAATACTTTTTTCTCAAACCAACATACATGACTGTAAAAATTTTTAAAAATTAAAAGAAAATGGTTAAATTCAAAACCCATTATTTAAAATATATAATATATAAATTAATCCCAAAATAAAATAATATAAATAGTTAAATTATAAAAATGAAAAAAATTCACGACATTTACTCACTTATCATCTTGCATAATTTACCTTGACAGTATTGGATACATGTTATTTTCTGTTATAACTCTAGTTTATGTTCATCATTTTGCCTGATATTTTGGTAAGTAATTTCTCATAAAGTTGTTTTAGTTGTATGTGGAAGGAAAATTAAAAACTCATTGTTGAATCCATTTTTTTTTTTTTTTTTTTTTTTTTTATCAAAGTTCAAAATTACCCTATGCAAAAATATTGGATACATCAATTTAATATTTTGTTGCGTAGCCTCTGTTTTGTTTCACTGCTTCCATTCACTTTCTATAGTTGGCCACAAGTTTTCCACACTAATCCACCGTTACTTTACCCCATTCTTCCTTGCATAATTTCTCTAATTGCTTGATATTTTGTGGATTCCGCTTATGAACTTTAACCTTCAAAGTATTCCACAAATTCTCAATTGGATTCAAGTCAGGAGACTGACTTGGTCAATTGAGAGTACTAATACCATTATTTTCAAACCATTCCTTTGTAAGTTTTGTGGTATGTTTGGGATCGTTGTTGTATTGAAGCACGAAATTCTGGCCATGTCCTAAAGAAGTTGCAGATTTCTGAAGGTTCTTCTCTAGAATCTCTCCGTACATGCTACCATTCATTCTACCATGGCTAACTTGTAACTCACCAGTGCCCTTGGATGAAAAGCATCCCCATATCATAATGGAAGCACCCCCAAACTTAACTGTGGGGATGGTATTGTGCTTGTTGAAGGCAGTACCATTTTTTGCCAAACACTTGTCGCTGTGTTCCTTCTGAATAGTTCAACTTTTGTTTCATCTGACCAGATTACCTTTTCCCAAAACTGCATACCTTTCTTTTCATAAGTTTCGACAAACTTTAATCAGTCTTTGACATGTTTGGTTTTCAGTAAAGGCACTTTTCTTGATGATCTTTAATGAAAGCCTGTACGATATAGAGCTCTGCTAATGGTATTCTTACTTACATTAATTCCAGCACCCTCAAGATCAGTTTTAATTTCAGAATGAGTAATGAAGGGTTGTTTGTGTTTTTTTTTTTTTTTTTTTTTTTTTGCACATTTCTGCTGATCTACCCTGAAGTACTCTCATTTATTTTTCTCGGTCTTCCATTTCTTGGAAAGTTTGCTGTATCGTCGCCATACTTCTTATAATTTCTGATGATATTTCCTACTGTACTTAGTGCTAGATTCATTTCTTTGCTAATTTTTCGGTAACCTTGTCCTCCTTTGTGACGTTCAATGATTCTATCTCGCATATCTCTGGATAATTCTTTAGTTTTTGCCATTTTTAATTTTTTGAATTGCAGAATGCACATCAAAGAGTCAGATGATTAGTAGCACTATCTTGTAAACAATTGTGCTTCTCTGATTGGTCAGAGATAACATTCCAATACTATCGAAAATTTGAATATTTAAAGTCTTTTAAAATACAAAGTTTCGATTGGAAATTTGAAAAAAGTGTCATGTATCCAATACTTTTGCATGGGGTAATTTTAAATTTTGATAAAAAAAATGGATTCAACCATGAGTTTTTAATTTTCCTTCCACATACAACTAAAACAACTTTATGAGATATTACTTACCAAATATCAGGAGGATTAATCATTTGTGCACCTGCTATCATGGTTTCAACCATTGAGGTCACATCAGGTGGTAGATACTAGTTAATCTCCTAATGCTTTATTTATTTATTTTATATGTGCACAACTGGAAGTATGACAGGAGGGGAGTGGTGGGGAAATAAGGTGGGATGGGGAGTTAGATTTATTTTTTATATGTACCGTCATCTGGGTTCATATAAACCCAAATATATAAAAATTATCTCTTCAGAACATTTTTCATTCTTGTAATAATTTGTCACACAAGCTGAAAATTTCTGGTTCAAATTATTGATTTTGAAAAAACGTTTATAATGGTTTCAGTTCACTAATTTTTGGTTTCATAACTTTAAATGTTAACTTAAATAAATTTACTGTCCATTATCATAGCCATGTTATATGAACAAAAGTTGCTTAGGTTAGTTTGGGCAAATTCAGCCAATTGAAACTAATAAACAGGCTTGTTTATCATTTTAATGACACAAGTCAGGCTAACAAATTTCTACCCAAATGGTTAAGAATAATCTTAAATGGTTTTTAATTTACTATATTTTTCAACTGTCTTACAACTATAATTTGACTTAAATAAATTCTGTGCATCATAATAATGTTATATGAACAAAATTTAATGAGGCCTGCTTGGGTTCATTGAATTTAACCCAAACCATTGAAATTAATAAACTGTAACACAAAAGCTGAACAGTAAATACTGTTTACTAAATACCTGTAAATGTAAGCAACTATTTCACATTTCCATTCTTCTATTTAGTTAATTGGTGATGCTTTTGTATGAATAAAAATTTTGTAATATTTTTAACATTAAAAAAATTCACATTTACAGATATACCTTGAGTTATATCATTTCAAGTTAAGTCATTCTCAATTATACACCATTTGTCAAAAAAAATATATGGAAATATAAAATTTGTCATTTTATTCAACTTTACTTCTGTCTGCCACAAATATTGAAGTTGTAATATCACTAGAAAAACATTAAAACACATGAAATAATGTTACTGTACAATAAATAAGAATAAAAGTATATAAAATCATATTAAAATACATACATTTACAGTAAATGTTAATATAATCATCATAAATCCTAGAGAATGAAATATGAAAACATCTGTGACCCTATGTTGTCTTATTTAGTGGTCTTTAAGAGCTCAATATTGGCATTTTCCACGGTAGTTCCAATATCTACCATTTGGCGGTGTTGTCAAATTGAAATCCAGTTTAATTTAGGCATATGTATGGTATACGTCTGCTTATCACCTACTCTCTCATTCTCATTCATTTGTGACTTTATATTTTGCCCCAATGGCTCCTAAGAAAATTCCTAGTGCAAGTGCTAAGTGTCATGCTATAATGCTGGACAATAAACTTACTATGATAAAATGCCATGTAAAAGGTGAAAAGGTTATATCAATTGCTCGATCTTTTGGAATGAGTTGGACGACTGTATCGATGATTGTTCACAATAAGGATAAGATTTTGGTACATATTAAATCTGATGCTCCAGGGATGATGAATACTGTTATCAATAAGAAAAGAGGAAACATCTTTGAAGAGATTGAACAACTTCTTTCTCTTTGGTTTTGAATCATTAGACTTTGCTGTTATTAGTCAAGAAATAATTCAAGTGAAAGCATTGTCTTTGAGGACCTGAACAAAAAATACTCAGATGAGAAAAATATAGAGTTTAAAAGTGAATCAAGCCTGATTTATGAGATTTAAAAGAAATTATATATATATATATAAGAATAAGGTGAATATGCATCAGCTGATGAACAAGAAAGCAACTGATTTTCCTAAAGAATTGGCTGGGATATTCAAAGAAAACAGGTTTCTTCTTGAACAGATTTTTAATGTTGATGAAACTGGATTATATTCAAAAAATTGCCAGACCGTTTCTTTCATTGCTAATGCTAAGTGTAAGGCTATATTGCTGATAAATTATTTTATTCAGAATACTTTTATACATATAATATAGTAATATGTGCAATGGTGTGTGCTTATTTGCCACTTATAGTGTGGTTATTTTGACTTAGGTATAAATATATTATAGTTATATGACCTCTGGAACCAATTAATGACATAGGGTGAGGTATACCTGTAACAATATAATTTTTTCGATGATCATAATTGCTCATCAGGCGAATATAAATTACTTCGATTTGAACGATTTAATTTTAAAAAAAAAAAAATACAACTTCTTTTTTTCTAAAAAAAAAAAAAAACTGGTTCTAAGATTTGTACGCATTGCTTAGATCAAAATCAAATATCTCTCTCTCATTAAATTTCTCTAAGAGAAGAAGCAAAAAATTAAGAAATTATTTTTCATAAATGGGTCATGAACTGTAGATTTGAAATCAATGGCTCTCAACAGATGTTAAAGTTTCTCAGATGTAAACGGATACATATTATACATTAAACAATGCCATTTCTTAAGAAAACAATCTAATGGTAATCTAACAAAATACTAGATAAGTTATAAACTTTCTGAGTTTCCTCATATAAAAAAAACATTTTATAGTTGATAAATAAATACTTCTTTAAGAAACCAGTAAATAATTTAAATCTATAAATTTACTTGACAAATTAATCTGCTCTATCGTTCTTTCGGATTTAATAATCCTATTTGATCTCTATTTGATCCCAATTATATATATATATATATATATATATATATATATATATATATATATATATATATATATGTTTGTGTGTGTGTTTCGTATGTGTGTGTTTGTGTGTCTCTCTATTCATGCATGTATGCATGCATCTTTTGTATGCATGGTGTGCTCTTTTATAGTAAATGTATATTAGTAGATCTTTTGAACAGGTGTAGAGTTTTAATAATCGTTTACTGTTTAGGACCGTGTTTCTAGTTCCTCTTTTTAAATTTTTCTCATTTGCCCCAGTAATAAATTCGTCTTAGTTGCATTATCCACTTGCTTTTGGAACTCAAACTTCTTTAGAAAATATACATATTTATAATATAGTATATTATCCTCTGAAGCCATAGATAGATAGATAGATTTCATGAATAGATAGATAGATAATATCTGACTGAGATAGATAGATAGATAGATAGATAGATAGATAGAATAGATAGATAGATAGAATATTGAATATGTATATCTTATTAGACTGTCAAAAACAAATTTCTTTTCATGCCTCTCGTCAGAAGTGAGACGGAAATTTCTATCTCTCTCTCTCTCTCTCTCTCTCTCTCTATATATATATATATATATATATATATATATATATCTCTGTGTGTCTCTGTGTGTGTTGTGTGTCTGTGTGTGTGTGTGTGTGTGTATCTGTCTTTTTGTGTTCATGCTCTGTCTGTATGTATCTCTCTTTTCATCTCTTATTATGGTATTTCTTTCGTTCTGAGTGGAAATTTCCTGCATTATTTTTGTTTCGTTTATATTCCATAAAATTCTATTATCCATACAGCTCTCTCTTAAATTGATCTCTTAAGCAAATTAGTTTCTCTCTGAAGACATTCTCACAAATTTAATCTCTCTCTTGTCTGAGATTTCTCTCTTTTCCTTCTTTCTTTTCTTCTCTCTCTCTCTTTTTTCTTCTTCCTTTCTCTCTCTCTCTCTCTCTCTCTCTCTCTCTTCTCTCTCTCTCTCTTCCTCTCTCTCTCCTCTCTCTCTCTCTCTTCCCTCTCTCTCTCTCTCTCTCTCTCTTCCTCTCTCTCTCTCTCTCTCTTCCTCTCTCTCTCTCCTCTCTCTCTCTCTTCTCTTCTCTCTCTCTCTCTCTCTCTCTCTCTCTCTCTCTCTCTCCTCTCTCTCTCTCTTCCTCTCTCTCTCTCTCTCTCTCTCTCTCTCTTCCTCTCTCTCTTCTCTCTCTCTTCCTCTCTCTCTCTCTCTTCTCTCTCTTCTCTTCTCTATCTCTTCTCTCTCTTCCTCTCTCTCTCTTCCTCTCTCTCTTCCTCTCTCTCTTTATTTATTTAAAGAAGGAAAATGGTAACTCCACAATTCAATTGAGTTTAAAACTTGTTTTTCATTTCAGATTGCAAGCCAGTGGTAATAGTTTCCCTATTCGATTGAATGTCACTAATGAAAGTGGTTATTACCTGGACATTTCTTTATATAGAGAAGTTACTGATGCCAGGACTGGACAAGTGAGTAATTTCATTTCTTGTCTAGCAGATTACAAACCTTAAAGAAATTGAAATATTTGTTAATTGTGTAATTTTGTTTTTCCTCATTTTAGGTGATGTTTCAAGGTTATGGTACCAAGCAAGGACCTCTCCATGGTTTGCTGATTAGTACCCCATACATGACTAAAGATCATTTGCAATTGAAGCGTTTTCAAGCTCAATCAAATGGAACAACATATGTCTATGATTTCCCTGAAATGTTTAGACAGGTAAGAACATATTTATTTTTCTTTGCTTTATCATTTTGTTGAACTTTTTTTTTTTTAAGAAATGGTTTCTATATTCATGACTTTTTGTCTTTATTTTTTTTTAATCATAACACCACTAAAAAGCAAGGGCCTATTGAGTGTTGGAGAATAAGAGAAAAAGAAAACATTATTAAGGAGAGAACAATAAAAGAACAAGATAGTAGCCCTGTAAAATACCCTGATATTATGTGACTGACAAACATTAGTAAAGCGTTAAAGCTTCTCACTACCAGTCGAGATGCAGCAATCAGAAAACAATCAACCTGCTATGAACTACTGATCAGTCAGCTGAGTAAAAATTTAGGACAGTTAAATAATTAAGGCCATGAAAGGAAGGAACCAGTAAACCATATTCTAAATGGGGGGAAACAAGGATAAACCTCTACCTCATGTTCAATAAACATGTAAGGAGTTTTAAACTATCTGTTACTTCAAATTTCTCTAAGTAATAACAATCATAAAGTCTGTCATGGACAGTAATATTTTGAAAATATTCATATATATATATATATATATATATATATATATATATATATATATATATAACACCCATTTGATTAGCATCAAAAAGTTAGCAATACTTCTTTCCAAGAAAGAAGTATTGGTGTAGAGCAAAGATGAGATTTGTCTAAATGAATTAGACAAATCTTAGATGGTTGGTTGCTTAGTCAGAGTGAAATGTGACTGAATTTGGAATAAAGTGCATGAACAATTACAAGAAAAATAATCTATGGTTGTTATTCAACAAGATGGAAGTTATATAGGCTGGAAACTGGTATCTCAATTTTTTTTTTTTTTTATCTCACTTGACCTTGTTCCATATTAAGTGAAACTTATTAAATATAAAGGAGATTTTTTTTTTTTTTTTTTTTTTTCATGGGGTAGAAATGTTCAGTTTTCTCATTTTAGATTTTGCTTTTAAAGATTCTCTACAAAATCCAAAGAATCTGCAACAATGTTATCAGTCCTGACCTAGCATCTTGGCTTTAGTTACTTTACCACTGCTATAGCTTTCCTGTGCTCTTTTTTTTTTTCTTTTCCATTTACATTATTGTTCTGATAAGCTTTCTTCTTTGGTACCTTGATTTCACAAATTTAAGTGCAGTACTAGATTGGCAGCTAAGTCTCATAATTTTACAGTTGAAATTGCTAGATGTAACTGTAAGCTGTATCCTATTAGTTTTTTGTACTTGCTTGTGGAATTCTCTCATGGTTACTTGCTTTATAGTAAACTATGATCTTCAAAAATTTAAATGCAATGTCAATCTCACCATCTGTCTCTTTGAATTCTGTTCTTTTATTGTCCTTTCTCCTCAATAACATTTTTTTTAGTTTCTTTCATTCCAGGTAACTCCTTGTTTCAGTGGATTTATTGCCTTGTTTGAGGTAAAACAATTGAAAAAAGTTTTCATTATATTGACATATTGTCAAATCTGTATTATTGCAATAATAATTTTCTTATGTATAATATTTTTTTTTTTTTTAATGGATTAACCAATATATATATTATATCAGTTTATATATATATATATATATATATATATTATATATATATATAATCAAATCCATTAAAGAAAAAAAAAAAATCTGAAAAAGAACATAAAAATTGTGAAATCATTGTATTGAAATATTTCTTGGCTTTTTGAGGTTGATAAACATAAAAATTTTTTTTTACATGTGAGTGTTTGTTTTATTACAGGAAAGATAGTTTTTTTTTGTTTTTTATTTATTTATTTATTTTTTTATTTTTATTTTTTTAATTGTACATTTTTCTTTTTATTCAGGCCTTGATGAAGTTGTGGCAGGAACATGTCTATCAGTTAAAAGAACAGAACACTAGTATCCCTTCAGAAGTATTCAGTTACATTGAATTGTTACTTGACAGCCATGGTCAGATTTGTATGCAAAACAGATTACACGGAGAGAATGAAGTAAGTTTACAGACCTTTTTTTTTTCGGTCCATTTTCTTTTTTTTTTTCTTTTTTTTTTTTTTTTTTTTTTTTTTAAATGCCATTTTCACATCACTCAGCAATTTGTAACTGAAACCTTTTTGCAACATGTAAATATACGTGTGATACCCTACCCTTGTCAACTGCCAACCAGAGGAGGTAAGTTTTGGTGGCTAAGGCAGTACTGCCAGCTTTTGCTACCAGACAGGGTATTGTTTTTGTATATGTGTCAGTTTCTTGCGATTTCTTTTTACAATTGCAACCGAGATTTTCAACACAACGTGCTCATAGCAACCATTATTAATGATGTCAGAAGTAGCATTGTATTATCATGGTTTTATTTAAATTTATTTTGGATCTTGAGCTTCAGGTTCCAGCCAATTATGCCAACCTTCAAAAGGAAACAATTGACTGTCTAAGGAATACATGGCACCCAACCTCAATAGCACATGACATGTCCATCCCGGTTTTTCTTTCACTTGTACACCTCCTCCCTGTTCTCCTCTCATGGAACCATTAATTCTACTAGGAGGACACACTTCTTTATGGGCATGCAGAGAGCACGTGATGTAAAATGCCTTGATCACTGTGACATAATGTGCATACATCAGTGTCAGTGTACCTCCACAGCTTCAGGTTCATCACATTTGGTAGGAGATCATAGGTAGATTGCAGGAAGAATGATACTGTCAATGGCTCCATTGGAATCAGGGTATTCCATGATAGCTTCATTGGATCAATATCACTCCATTTTAGTTCAAGCACATTGTTTGGATTGAGAAACAGCAGTAGATATTCTCTGTTCTTCAAAATTCTTGATTTCTTCAATCACCATGTCTCCTTTTACCCTTTTGACCCTGTTTGGAGAAAAACTGGTTGCTCATACTGCCCAGGTCAGCTTGATAATCTCTTTGGTTCACAGGTTGGATTCTGCTTTTTGTGTGGCTTCTACTGCCAATCATTTGGTGCCAGTTTTGATATCTAGCCATAACCTGCAAACGACTTCACCGGTCAAGTCTCATCATCATGTGAAGGCGTTCCTTCCTGACCTTAAACTCTTCCACCAACGAGGAGATGGGAGGTTGCAGGTTTTTGGCATTGGTATAGTCCCATTGTGGAGAAGCAGCGGGTGGGGACTTTAAGCCACTTGTGTAAGTGCTTGTTGATACACTGCTATATCTGCTGAATGTGAGACAGAATAATATCATACACCTGCAACAGGACAGCAAACCATGTTAGTAGCACCAAGCCTCTAGTTTTATGGAATCGGTTTTGTCTATGGACTCCAGTTCATCTAGTGCCACTTTCTGTTCCTCTTTATCTTGGTGATGATCTGTCAGTGGATTTTCATACAGTGGTCCGAGGCTTTTCACTGGCTTCTCTTTGACTGTCAGGACCATGTCATTAGCCTTCATTCTTTCCCATGTGAAGAGCTTATGGTAGCACTGCAGTAGTTCAACAGCACCGATCTTAGATGGGACCAGACTGGTGATTGTCATCTATGAACACTTTGGAAGGAGGAAGAACCATTTGTTCTTTAGTCACTACTCCCTTTGCTGTGTTCGCTGTGCCCTGTAATATGAGTTCCATGGACATAATGAAAAGTGAAATCGCACACCCCATCATGATGCCAACCTTAAGGGCTTGACACTTGGTGGTGTAGTTACTAACAGTGAACTGCATAAATGCCACTCTGAAATATTTTGTTATAATTTCCCTAACCTTACTAGGGAAATTGAAAAATTCGAGGAACATTTGAATTAATTCCTGAGGAACTGATCCATATGTATTTGTAAGATCAAGCCAAATTACATGAAGCTCATTTTTATTTTGTTTGGTTCATAGAATTAAGTTCCAAATAATGTGTGAATGCTCCAGACAGCTGGGAAAGCCAGATATCCCCAGCCTTCTGGACAGCTGTGTTTATGTAATGGTTACCTAGAAGGAAGTCTGTCATCCAAAGACCCCCCCCAAAATATTTTCCTCTCTACATTTAAGAGTGAGATTGGGGTGGAAATTTGCAATGCCTTTTACATTCTTTTCCTTAGGTATCCAAATGCTATCCACCAAGCACCATTCTTGTGGTACAATACCTTGTTTCCATGCTGTTGGAGGAGGATGGTGAGTTACTTGAGGATGTTTGGACAATTCTTATATAACTTGTAGGATATTCCATTTATTCCAGGTGCAGTATCAGCATGGAATTTGTGGATGAATTCCTGAATTTTCCTCAGCTTTAGTCTGCTGTCATTAAACATTAGTTCATTAGTTCAGGTAGATGGTTGCCATTTTTATGTTAAGGTGACAGAAATGTGATGACAATATTGGTTTGACTGTAAATAATAAAATTTTTTTTTTTTCTAGGTGTACATTGTAAAATTTGAGATAAATTATAAAATACTGTATATACTCTTGTATAAGCAGACTTTATGTATAGTATGACCCCTGAATTTTTTGTATAAATTTTAACACCCCCAGAAAAAATTTACCTGCAACTGGTTGTTGTAAATACATGATTTTTAACATCTTCAAAAAATTACCTGTTAATAGTGCAATTGCCTAGTTTTTCTTTTTGTGTGTGAAAAAAGAAAATATAAATTTGCACTATACAAACTTTTGTTTGTACTTAAAAATTAAAAACATTCAAATTATTAATACAATATTAACAATTTGAATATTCTTATTTATTTATTTTACTAGCAAAACTCACTTTGGCTGTAGATTTAAAAAAAAATATTTTGCTAACTTTACAAATATTTGTAAATTTGTGTTATGGATATAGATTGAAATTTATAGACATGAAAATTCTTCTATGAAAGATGATAAATTTTAATTTTAACTTAGTTTATAAAACTAACTTGAAATGGCACTTGAATCTTTAGTATTTGTTTTAAACTTCTAGATATTATTTTTCTTTCTAGGTTGGTATGGTTGCTTGGAAAATGACCCTGAAAACTCCAGAGTTCCCCAATGGTAGAGACATTATTGTAATAGCCAATGATATCACTCACAAAATAGGATCATTTGGTCCTCAGGAAGATTTACTCTTTAAAGTAAGTAGCAAAGCAGCTTTTTATTATTTTCTTAAATTTATTTGCTTGTTTTGTAATACATAGTCATGCTTATTCTGCTGAAACATAAACTTGGCTTAAATTGCCAATTGGTCAATCCAATAAAATGGTTTTGATGCTGGGACATTTTTAATCGAAAATAGCTGTAAAATTCTATCAGGATAGTTATAAAATTCTCCTCTCTTTTGGTGCACTTCAATGTGGTCTAATGGTTTGCAAGCTTGTCTCACTAGATTAATTATGACTGAGTAATGAATTCCATCCTAAATACATACTTTTCATCTTGTGCCACATCTAACCTTAGTAAATTGCTGTAAAATTCTGTTCTTGTCAATGTTCACAATGATAATTGTCATTGGGATCTGGGAGAATATTTAGAAGATAGAAAATGTAAAAACTATCATGAAAGTTAATTTCTATAAAAAGCAACAATTTTTGAAAATAAAATTCTTTGGATTGTTGCTAAGAAAACTTGGCCCTTGTTATCTTATTCTTTCATTCCCTTTTGAGTATGAAATGAACTCAGCTTTGAATGAATGGTAATAATCCAATACTAGTGTTAAGCATAAAAAAAAAATTACCATTAGTCTATAACAGTTGGTGTTAGATGTGTCAATAGTCTGGAAACTCTTGCTGACAGTATATTTACCATTCTTGATTTATTTATTCCCATTTCTAAGTTATTTGTCAAATTCTTTACAAGTTGTTCTAGAATACATCATGAAGGCTTATTTATTTTAACAAATTTCTTTGTGGCAGATAGAATTGCTTCAGTGGGCAAAATATCAGTGTTAATATATACAAAAAAAACGTTAAATACCAGATTGTCTTTCTTTCAGTCACTTTAAATATTGTTATAGGAATTGCTAAAATTTCTGATGTTCATAGAATATATAAACAAAATGGCATGTGGCAAGGTTTTAATTTGTAACCAGAGTAGTTTGCTGAACCTAGTATTACCAAATGTACAAATAACTTTGAAACTTTAATTAAAAAAAGTGTATTGTATTGATAATTAAATGTCTTTCAGCACATTGCAGATTAATAGTAAATATTGATTTTGATAAATTGTTTTGTTTTAGGGGGCATCTGAACTGGCCCGTCACTACAAATTACCAAGGATTTATTTGGCAGCAAACAGTGGTGCCAGAATTGGTTTGGCTGAAGAGATAAAACATCTTTTCAGAGTTGCCTGGGAAGATGATGCAGACCCCAATAAGGTGAGCCACTTTCAATATTGGCAGCTAAATAATTGTGTGTGTGTGTGTGTATGTATGTATGTATATATATATATATATATATAAAAACATTCATCTGAGTGCATTAATAAAAAAAAAATGTTATTACTTTTTTTTAAAACTTGTATCAACCTAAAAACTTTAAAAATAATTTTTGTGAGTAGATTCATGGATATTTCACTCGCTTTCATGTAATATAAAAATCTGTATTATAATTGCTTTGCTGTGACTCTACACATAACTTGCAATCCATTTTTATTTTTTATGTAGTCTGCTTTTACTCTACAAAAATGATCTATTTTGGCTGTAAGCACTAAAGTTTTAAATATTAGTTACAAAACTTCAACAAAATTTCATTGCTTATTTTTAATTTCTTCCAAAATATAAAGAAATGAACATAAAAAGATGCACTTGTATTTGACAAATTTACTGGAAATTATTAAATAGCTTTTGTTAATGCCTTTTTATTTTAGGGTTTCAAATATCTATACTTGAGGCCAGATGACTTTAAGAAAGTGAGTGCAGCAAATGCTGTACGAGCAGAATTGATAGAAGACAATGGAGAAGCACGTTATAAAATCACTGATGTAATTGGTAAGTAATCTTTCTTTTCGAGTTATATAACATAAATTCACGTTTCTTTTTTGTTTTTTTTTACTATTCTCTGCAAACTTATTTTATTTTTTTTCTGTAAAAAAAAAAAAAAAAATTGTTTAATGGAGAGGAAAAAATACATAAACCAAAAACACAGGAGGTATTATAGAAAATACTTGTAACTTATTTTGTAGATTTGCTCATAAAGCTGTTTGCTGATAAAAGAAAAATCACTTTAATGCTGAATACTCATTAGTCCTTGCCCCAACCAAGAAGAGAATGAACTAGTATGATGATAAACTACATCTGGCAGCAAGGCCTCTAATTGGGAGGTTTTGAGGAGTGTTGAACCACTTCTTAATTGCTGTTCTTTCCAGGTCCACCCTGGCCTGGGGTATGTAACACCTGGTAGGGTCCCAGCTATGGGCAAATAGTTAACCCCCAAACAGGGACCAAAACACTATGAAAGTATAAAAATACCAGCAACACATTTAAAAAAAAAAGTACATATTCTATTCATACAAACTTATCCTAAAAATCTTGGATTTAAATAAAGTTGAAATGCCATAAAATTTACAAGAATGGTGAACTCCCCGAGAGGGCAAATAGACTGAGGGTTTCATGCATTTTTTGCAATAGTTAAAGACAAAGATCACTTATCTCGAATTTGCAGATGGCAGGTAGTGCTCTATGTGAAGAGAAAATAATGAAAAAGAAAAGTTATAGTGCCTTGTTTTAAAAACTGGTCCCCTCTTTATTGTCATGTTCATGTTTTGGCTGTCATATGCTCTGGCCTTCTTCAGGTGATATGCGTTGGAGTTTTGAACCAAACCCTTTATTTAATCCACAGTGTAGATTGTTTTACTTCCACATGTCATGCCTTTTCTGGATATGTTTTATTCCAGGGAATTAACTAAAACTGAGATATCCAGAAAAGGTATGACATGTGAAAATAGAACTATCTATCTCTATCGACTAAATAAAGGGTTTGGTTTGAAATTCCAATGTATATCATTTGAAGAAGGCTGGAGTGTACAATGGCTGAAATGTTGTGAATATGACAATAAAGATGAGGAGAACAGTTTGAACAATGTAAATAGTGTAAATAAATGTAATTTTAATCAGGAATAATAGCAAGAATTTGTCCTGAGGTATCAGAAATCCTTTGACTCAACCAATCCTTCAACAGTTCTTTTAGCAAGAGAGAAAGTAAAGTTTCAGATTGAGGGAATTTGTAATATTAATCTATAGTAGACACAAATGTGTTTATTTACATTTTGTTTACAGGCAGAGAAGATGGAATTGGTGTAGAAAATCTCCGAGGATCTGGCATGATAGCTGGGGAAACATCTCAAGCTTATGATGAAATTGTCACAATCAGTTTGGTGAGTGAAAGTAAATTTTCATATTTTATTTCTTTAATAATGGCTTCATATTGTTTTAATATTGAAATGATTGTTCTAATATTAAAGATTCATATTCCAAAAGTATATGAAGCTAAATTTCAAAACAAATCAGTGAACAGTTTATTTTGAGAATTAACTTGCCTAAATAATATTAAGAATAACTAAAACTGTTCAAAAGATTTACTAAAACATATTAAATTAATGAAATCTGTGTTAGATTTTCAGTTAACACCAAATGAGTGCTCTAAGTGACTTTCTAATTTCAAAAATGATTTGTGTGTATATATATATATATATATATATATATATATATATATATATATATATATATATATATATAGCGCTAATGTTTGTCACTTAGCTGATTGATGTTATCTTCAGCATCCCGATTCCAGAGTTTTTTTAGACTGACCTATCCATCCACTGTTCAGTGGGTATCAGCAACTGACTGCTTATTTTTTTTCAATTCTTTTTTTTTTTAAACACTTATCATTGCAAGTTTTTTACTGTAATGTTTGTGTATGTGTAGAGTGTTGCAATTATTTGTCCTTTTGTTCTTTTTTTTTTTTTTCATTTTACTCATACCATAGCTTTTCTCTTTTTTTTTTTTTTTTTTTTTTTTTTTTTTTCTATTGTAGTCATTTATTTGTTTTTCTCTAGATATGTTATCTTTTTAATTTTTGAGTGTTCTAGTCTTTTCTTGAGTTAGGAAAATTGTATTTCATTTTTTTTTTTTAACATAAATACTGTATATACTTGCATATCATGTAACTTAGGAAGACCTAATTTTGAAGCTAATTTTAAGGGAGTTGCATCATATACAGGATATAAAATTAGCTGGCTGTGGTCATGCCATTAATCAAACTATCTATCCATTTACTCTAGTCAAAAAGTATTTAAAATAAATATGATTTTGACAAAACTTTACTTAACTGTATCCAATAATAATGCATGTAATTGTGATGACTTTCATGGCAAAATTTGTGACGACATTCTCTGCTTGTCCATCATTCAATGCACCTGTGTTGACATCCAATATTGGCTGTATTTGCTTGTACACCCGACTTTGTGTATATTTAATGTTTATTTATTAATAATTTTTTTTTTGTTTTTTAAAGATTATATTTATTTCATTTAAAGTTTATATTATATTCATTTGTTTATTTTTAATTAGTGCTTAGATAGCAAAGTAAGTATTTATTTATGTCTACATTATTTCACTTTTCTTGTTTAATAGTTTATCTTGGTTTTTAAAACTAATTATTGCTGATTTTTCCTCTAAGTATAGTTTACAATTTTTACTGTTAATACTGTATGGAGCTGTTCTTTTTATAATTTCCTATTTGATTTTGGTGGGGATATTTTTCTTTTTGGCTCCATATGTATTTTGATAGGGTTGTATTGTTTGTCCCTTTTTTTTTTCTTTTTGAAGGGCATTTTGTAGTTATATCTATCTTTTTAAGGTATTTTCTGTGACGCCTATGTACATTTTTTTTTTTCATCTGTGTTAATGTTATTAGTTACGATAACTTAGTATATTATGTTATTGGTTAAACATTTATTAAGGGGGCAATTTTCTGTTTCTGCAGTTACATTTGATGGTGTTATTTTTGTAATTGTTATTGGTTTTGTTGAGTATTTTTTATTGTGCTTAGTTATTATTTTCTCCATGTTATCCATGCAGCTATAACTAATTTTGATTGTATTTTTATTGATAATTTACTGTTTTTAGGGAAGTATTTTTCAATTATTTTTAAGAATATTTTCCCTATTTTTGTTTTTATTGTATTGGTGTAGGTGGGGTTGGACCAAATTATGTTTATTTTTCTGTTTTTGTTTGAATTGTTTTGTTTTTGTATTCTAATTTGAATATCCAGTTTCTTAAGGCTGATTTATGTTTTTTTTCATTGAATATTTTTAAGCTACTAGAATTTGTTGAAATTCTTTTATTTATAGATATGGGTATTTGTTTGGTGGGGGTGGAATTTTTCCTAATGCATATATGGTTGTTGTTTGGTTTTCTGTATGGTTCTTTCCAAAACATCTAAAAAATGTTTACTTGTGATGTTTCGTCCTTCAAGAAAAAACACGTCACAAGTAAACTTTGTTATACAATTTCTCCAGTACCAATTATATAATTTTATATATTATCTCATACACATGCATATATATATATATATATATATATATATAAGAATCCAACAGAATAAGATAAAGAACAAATAAGAAACATTTATGTTCATTGAGTTCTTTTTTTTTTTTTCTTTTTGGAAGTGTATGATAATCCTAGTTTGTCTAAGGAATCTGTTTATCTAAAACAGTATATATGTAAAAATGTTCCCAAATTAACAAGTGTAAACCCCCCACACACACACTTATGGATATACATTATCATCTGAATCCCACATAAACAAACTAGAATTATTATACACTTATGTACATAAAATAATATTTATGGTTTTTCAGGTAAGCTTGGAATTTGGTAATTTCTTGAAACTTTGGATAGACATGTCCTCTTTACTTCAATTCAGGACACTACAAATTATACTAACATTGGCTTAAAAAGTTAAATGCATGTGAAACAACCAATGAAAATCTAACATGAAAGTAAAAAAAATTCCAGAATTTTTCTACATATCTCATTCTCTGTTAGATTGATGAACATTTTCTATTTGGTCTTTTGATGTATGTATATATATATATATATATATATATATATATATATATATATATATATATATATATAAATAAATAAATGAGTTTTTAGCAAGAGTTCTGGCAAATAAGTTTATTTTGGATTAATTTGAGTTCCAGCATTTAAAATAAAATTAAAAAAAAAATGCCAGGATGTATCCAACAAAATCTTTTCTAACACACTGACAACACTGAGTTTTTGATAATGACTAAAAGTTACAAGTATTTGAACAATAACGTAGTAAAATATTAACTTCTGACAGTTTATATACAATTTTCATCTTTTTATATCATTGGAAAAATGCAATAAAAAATTACACAGAATTTGTTGGTTGAATTCAGCAAAACTTGTTCAGAGATATCTCTACTTTGCTCTGAAAAATGTTACATTTTTAATATTTTTCAAAATTTATTTTTTCCTTTTGTTGATTTTTAGGTTACCTGCCGTGCTATAGGTATTGGTGCCTATTTAGTACGTCTTGGACAAAGAATCATTCAAGTGGAGAACTCCCATATTATTCTGACGGGTGCTGGTGCACTTAATAAAGTAAGGACCCAGTGTGACATTTATATTAAAAATAATTGTTCAAAAATTTTTGAAGCAAATTATTAAGACATACTTTTTTAAATTTTGTAATTTATTAATGTTCTTTTGTGTTGCATAATGGCATGTAAATATATTAATGTTGTGGTATTGACTTATCTTCCTACCAAATACAAATGTTGTCTGAAATAGTCATGTGGGCAGGAATTTTTCAACTTATAAAATATGTGTGTTGGTTCAAATAAACATTGTCAGAAATTTTTACACTGGTTAAATAAACTAAAACAAAATTGTGCTACATAGAAAATGCATGCTGTATCAAATAAGCATGTTGGTTGTGGATGAATGCAGTTGAGTTGAAAGGAATGATTTAATCCTGTCAGCATTTGCATGTGATATATAAGAGTACATATGGTAGGCATCATACTCCAAAAGAAAATATGAAGCTTCATCCACTTTCGTTTTTTTTATTTTTTTTGTTTTTTTAAAAGTACTAAAGAAGTAATAAAACTCTACAAGAAGCCGCTGTCTTTCTTTTTTCTCTATCCTTTCCTTATTTTTTGTCATTTGCTTTTGTCTCTCCCACACCCTTTTTTTTTTTTTTTTCTTACTTTCTACCTTAACACCTCCTCCTTCACTTGCTTTTCTGTTGTGGAAATGTTCAGATAGGCATTTGATGGCTGGCTGGCTGTGTGTGTGTGTTTTCATGGTGTGGGCAGTTATTACATGGATCCAGAAATGCCAGGAATTAACACTTTGATATTAACAGTGTATGTACATACTTTGATCTTAGACAGTAATGCTATATATATATATATATATATATATATATATATATTTTATTTATTTTAATACTGTGCTTGTAGAATATTAAAATACTAAACAATAAAACATAAGTAATAAAAATGTCCAAATAAACAAGGTTATTAAAAAATCAATTTGTCCCACTACGCCCCGCCCTATCATCCAAGACATCCAATACTGCAGCTGATCAATGAAGTGATCGCTTTGATCTAAGTCCTGCCCTATCCCACATTGTGATTTGCTTTGATCATAAGGTGGCCAAGATTGAATCGTTGTCAGGAAAATTTGTATTGGGATGGTCCAAGCGAGGTGAAGGCACAAATAAAGAAAATAACACTCAAAAAAAAAAAAAAAAAAAATTATTTTTATGTCAAGTCCTTCATACAGTAATTGGTTAATTGTTGTTAAATCCAAGATTTTGCATGCAAGCAATTGTCGACCTAACTCTGATGTGACAATTTGTTGATTTGGTAAAGTTTGTTTTACTGATTTGGTGAACTTTGACACATAACAGATCTCAAAGGTTCTCATCAGCAGATAATCACGTAGGGTGTCTTGCATCCAGTGGCTGGAATGCTCTCTCTGTTTCATCTCACTTTGGGCACTCATATTTATTGACATTTGCCTAAACTGGTGTGGGGTATGGTGCAGTTGGAGAATTTGGTATTTCCTCCTCCTGTCATCATTGTTTTAGGTTCTGAGAATTGAATTAAATTCATAATTTTGGGGAATTCCCTTCCATGGGTGGTGGTTACAGGTGTTATTCCACCTCATAACTTCCACTTTCTCCTATTGTCATCTCCCACTAATCCTTGTCAGTGGACCTGGGTGGCTCCTCCACCTTCCTTGGTCACTCAGCTGAGCCAGCTACCTCAGCCACCCTCTGACCAAGAATGATTAATTCTAAGTTCGTTGTTTATGAAAAAAAGTTTCCTATTCATAGCTTGTATTTTTAGCTGTGTGTGATAAGTGTCAATCATTGTTGCCATTTGACCTGTCGCAGTTCAAATCCATGTCGACCTTATGTGTTTCATTGTTCAAAACCCCAATACACAATTCAGATGGCTGTCTACATGAGAATTAAAATCTTCAATTTTTTGCATGGGGTTTATTCATTAACCCTTCTTATTTATCAGAGGTCTGTCAGTATAATGTTGCTTCTATTCAAAGAAAACTTTCTTATGATTAACAGTAACAAATAGTGTCACATCCTAAAGTATATTTATCAGGCTTATATAATCAGTTTTTTTCCCCTTGTAAATCATTTTGTTTAAAAATTTATGTTGGATAAAAATAGTTATTTTGTGGCATATAAGCTGCACCTCCCAAAAAGGAATTTAATCTTTGAATTCAATCCATTTCCTACAGAGAAAGTTAGGATTATGGTCTAAAGATGGTTTGAGACCAAGAACTTGGGCCACTCAGGATATACTAATGCCTTAATTTCAAATTATGGAGATTTATATGCTGTAAAATATTTCTTATACTCTGACCTATTTGAGATTGCTTGGAAATAAGCAATGAATTTTAATATTCCTAAGCAATCTGAAAATGTTGTTGCAATGTTGCTAGAACACTTAATTTTTTTTTTTTTTTCTTTTGTGAAATTTTAGGTTTTGGGACGAGAGGTTTACACAAGTAATAGTCAGTTGGGCGGTATACAGATTATGCACAACAATGGTGTATCTCATGATGTGGCTACTGATGATTTTGAAGGTGTTTACAAAATATTGCAGTGGCTCTCCTATATGCCAAAGGTAATTTTTCTTTTATGTTGATAATTTTGTTGATGCTTATTATCTATATAATATTAAAACTCTAATCTTGTATGTGTGTTCCTGCAATACAGCTTAAAAAATAATTAATACCATAATCATTTCAGGAGCATATTGTACCTTGAACCCCTGCTGACTGCAGTGCTAAATTTCATTAAAATTGCACAAGGGGTTCTTCAGCTAGGGCCATTTTTACAGCATTTTTAATATGAAATACAGTATTTTTTTTAGATACATCTTCTTATATCAGTCTGCATATATAAAGAAACACTTGCATATTATATTCCAACTACGTGTGTGAAAAAAAAAAAATTAAACATTCATAATACATTATCACAACATTATTAAATAAATTTAGATATGCATAACATGTAATCATACAGTTCACTACACTACTTTGGAAGTTGTTTTTTTGTAAATAGCTACTTGAAAGGTGACTTCATGGTAAATAAATAAGATGCACACTGGTTTGTTGCTGTTATGCATTTTGAAATAAATGTGAGGAAGAGAGAACAAGTATGTATAATAAAATATATACTTATTTTGAAAAGAATACACTTGTTTTAAACTATTACTTTAAATTTTCATGCAATGTATTAACTATGAAGCCCAGTGGAACAATAAACCTTCTTTCACGGTCTTTAAATACAAATGAAAATGTAATTAATAATGAAATTGATAATATTGTTACCTTATCAATTTGTATCATGAATTGCTTTTAAAAGAACACCAAGTGGATTTCTGGGTGCTCTAGTGTATTTATAAATGTTTTGAAATTAATATAATTTAGTTCTGTTTAAATATACTTAATTGTTAACTTATTTGTTATAAATTTCTGAAAATAAAAAGTCTGCTTTTATTAAGTTCAATTAAGTGTGGTACTGAATTCTCCAGCCTTGTCCAATGAAGTTAGTAATCCTTCACATAAGTGGCATAAAATAATCTGTCATCTTATATCTTGAAATGTTTTTTCATCATCAATATCACCCTGGCCATTGGGTATTTGGTGGTATCAAATGAATTTTGGAAATGCATACTTTTTATTGATATACCTGATTGGCGAGCAGAGACTCTGAAATAGGTGAATGTGTGTTATATTCAGCCTGGAAGCCAAATTGTTTCAGATGACTGGGTTTCTTATGCTGGAATTGAGGTAATCAGCAATAGGCGATCTCTCATGATGTCATTATTCATTAGTAGCATCTTGTGGATCCTGTGGTACAAGTACAGTCCAGTGTTTTCAGCATTTATTTGTGGCATGGTCCACCATTATAATAATGTTCAATTGTAATAAACGTATGTACCTTGGTCTTATTGATTTTATGTTGTTCAGGGAATAGCAGTTTATTTTATGCCGCTTAAGTGATGGATTACCTGAAAAAGTTTTATTTCTATTAAAATGAAATTTTTTTAACTTAAGATGTATTTTTTAGTTTCATTAAACAAATCTTCATCTAAGAATAAAAAGGATCTAACTTCATAATAGCTAAAAAGGTCTTCAAAACAACCTGTGATGCCCAAGTTATTCAGAAATCTTTTAAAGCTGGGTTTGGGAAAATGTTTCTTAGTCTATGTACCAGATCAGTGAGCAGAGACACTGAAAGAGACAATTGTGCAGTATATTCAGCATGGATGCCATATTGTTTCAGTTGGCTGGACTGCTTATACTGGAATCGATAAAATCAACCACAGGATATAGTTGTGTGACATTGTTATTCACCAGCATCAATTTAGGGTTCCTGATGATGACACCATCGATACACATGGAAAATCTTTGAATGTGCATCAAGCATAAACTGCATCAATAATTTGGAGCTCCTGAGGCACTTTTCCTGTTTCCCAAATTTGTGCAGTTTCAGCAGTACAAGAACAGTCCAGTGTTTTCAGGATTTATTTGCTGCATAGTCCATCTTACCCATTGTAATAATGTTTAGTTGTCATAAACGTATATATCTTGGTCTTATTCATTTTATGACGTTTGGGGAATAGCAGTTTATGTTATGCTGCTTAAGTGAAGGATTACTGAAAAGTGTAAAGCAACATTTGTGTCATAGGATAAATTTCTGCTTAACCTCTTTATACATCTAGCATCATTTTGAAGTGATTTCTTCTTTTTTTACGTTTCTCTGAACTATAATTAGAAGCTGTAATTTTGGAAAGTGAAAGTTTTATTGAAATACCATATATACTCCTGTATAAACTGACTTCATGTATAGTGTGACCCAGAATTTTTTTTTTTTTTTTTTTTTGCATTAAAACCTGCAAGAGAAAGTTTACCAAATATACTGCAACTAGTCACCAAAGATGTGACTTTTAACCTCTTCAAAAAAAAAAATTCTTGTATGAATCCCCCTGCCCCTTTTTTTTTTTTTTTTTTTTTTTTTTTTTGGTGGTGAAACAAAACAAAACTAATAAAAATTCACACTATATTTGAGCATATATGGTATGTTAAACTTTTTTTCATCTGAAATCAAGAAAATACAAACTTTAAACAAAATGGTTACAATATATAGGTGGTGGGGTATATAAATTTAAACTGATGCCAGGAGGGTGTAGATTAAGCTGGGTCTTATAACTCCCTCCAATATCTTGAGATTTCATTTAATTAATAGAATGAATTGAAAAAATTATTACTGAGCTTATTTTTGTGTATTTTAAACATAAACATTTTGTTCTTTTATAGTTTTTATTTAAAAGCATCAGTATTCAATATTTCTTAATGCATTTTTCTTTTGTGCAGTATCATGGAGGACCACTTCCAATTATTCACCCTTCTGATCCAGTTGAACGTCCCATAGACTTTATGCCTACCAAAGCCAGTTATGATCCAAGATGGATGTTAAATGGACGGCCTGATACAAGTAAGTGATATTTTCATAATATCTATGAATTATATATGAAGTAAATGTACTGATAAATATCAGTTCAATATATTAGACTATTTTTTCCCAAAGTAACTAATAGTGATACTGAACATGGACAAAAGCCAAATACACATCAACTATAAGCAAGATGAATCTTCACTTAAAGATATCATAAAGAAATACACAATCCTGGATGACCCAAAGAAGAAAATTAAATTATCTATTACAACAAATTTAAAACAGCTAATCTTATCATAAAAAATAGCACACCTGCAAAATCAAAACTACAAAGAACCCACATTATTTATGAGTTCAAATGCCCCTTAAAGAAATGTGTTCCAGATCAAACCAAACTCATAAATAATTAGATCGGTTACACTACTACATGCCTATCCAGACAACTTACATTATACTTACCTGACCATAGATCCATTAGGACTTATTTAAACACACACAAAAACCTACCAGACTCCATCCAAAACATATTAGTAGAAAATACAAGTATAATAACCTCATCCATAGGTAAAAGAAAAAGCCAACACTTAATAACATTAACTATGAACATGGACACAATTTGCTGACCATGTTTGGAAAATAAAACATTCCTATAACTCTAGATACAAACACATAACCCATACATTCAGTTAAAAGTAAATTAAAATTATCCTTGATAATGGCTAACGTATTGCCAAAAGCACTTGAATATGCAGAACTTTTGGCCAGTTTTTACACACTTTGTGTCCAGAAAAGAAAGCATTTGTATGAACACAATAAAAATTAAATAAAAAGCTTAATTGAAGTACCTTATCGGTCATCTTTAACAAAACCTGAATAGAAAAGGAATTGCTGCCTAAATACCATATAATATATAATATATATATATATATATATATATATATATATATATATATATATATATATGAACTCTCACATTTTTTGACATTTGAGGGTCCAGCAACTCAGTTCTTCAAACCAAACAGCCAGATGACCTGCATATATGATTTGATTTTAGTGGTTAAGGCTTGTGCAGAACTGACCACATTTTTGGAAGAGCCAAGTGCAGAACTGGTGTTATAGGACCCAGTTTGTCCTGTTAGTTATCCATAGCTGGAAGGAGAATAGATGGATTCATGCCTTTCTCCAAGGCTATTAGCATGTAATTGAATGTAATGAACTCTGCTAGAGTTTGGACTCTGCTCTCTGATTCCTCAATTCAAGCTGCTATCCATTACTCCAGTACCTCTATATATATATATATATATATATATATATGTGTGTGTGTGTGTCCTCAAAAATTAGCATACACTATGAAAAAATATTCCAAGCTTAATAAAAACAATTTTATATTCAAAATCTTTATTATGAAGATGTAAGACCAAAGGATTTCTATCATTATTAAACTAGCAGCATGATCTGGCGTTGCCTGTGCTTAATTCAAAAATCATACGACTCCTACAGCAATCGCTATCACTTAAAAAATATTTTTACCCTTCCTTGCCTTTTAAAGGAGTGCTTTTGCCATGCTGATGTTGCTACATGCAGCAAAACTTCTTGCCTATCTCCCCTGACAATTTTTTTCTAAGCTCTATACTAAATTAAAAAAAGAACTAAACTAAAAAATGAACACAAAACGATCAGCTTAAAAAAGGACTTGTAATTGGAAAAACTGAATGAAAAAAGAATGTTAACAACAAATAATTTTTTTCACACCAGCAACCCAGTTCTGTGGAATCAAAATCAACGTTGAGTTTAAGCAATGAATGAGCCAATTGGAGTAAACTGCCATGCAGATTTAAATTTTTCCACTTGTGATGAATGAAGTTTTATTTTTTTTTTGCATGCTTTAAAATGCTAGTTAAGCTAAAAGTTTCACGCTGGCCAATAGAATCTTCCTGCCTATTCGTGGCAGCCAGCTATAGGCTCTCACACTGGCCAGTAGAAAATGGCTGCAAACTACATGAAAACTGTAAATAGAAGCATGAAAAAATTGATTATTTCCACTATCGATGGGAGTTGGGAACTTGGAGCATGTGCATGTAAATTTTGGTGCAAATCCATCGAAAATTGCAGTTGTGCATTCGTTACACACACACACACACACACACACACATCCTGCCTTTTATAGATAGAGATAATATATTTTTTATCCTTTTTAGAATGTTCAAAATAAATTTTGTTTTTCTTGCATCAACAGGAGATCATAAATTAGTAAAGGAAAGTGTAGTGTCTTTTTGCAATAAAAAAACTCATTGATTTTGAAATTTTTTTTGCAAAAATTTAAATAATTGTTAGATTTTAATGAAACTTTAAGGACTTATTCACAAATGAATTAAATTATTTTAGAAATGTTTCTTTTTCAGAAAATATTTGTTTTTCATCTGTTACCTCTTATTTTATGAAATTTCCAGAAATTCATTTTTGTACTGCTTAATGTTTATATTAGTTATATGCAGCACTCCTTGGAGAATTTAAATCCTCAATTTCTTTTTAGGAAAACAGGACTCACAGTTACTGAAAATCTGCTGAATTGTAAAATAAATGCAATAAATTTAAGACACTATTTAATTAGGAAAGATTTTAATTGCTTTTTTGGGATAAGATATGTTATGGACTCTAGAAAAATTTTTGATGAATAATGAATTTTTACAAGAATTGTTTGAATTTTTCTTTTTTAAATTTTAATTAGAATAATTTATAAAGTTTTAAATCTTAAAATTCTGTATTAATTTGTACCTGTTAGGTGATATCGTTATTAAGTAAAAATTATATTTATTAATCATAAATGGAAAAGCTTACTACAATTCACTGACCACCAGTATTTTAAAAAGAATTTCAAATGTTTTTTTGTGTATAAATGTACTGATTTTTCTAAATACGGATGTCCATACAGAAGCCATAACCTAAAATTCAATAAAACAGATTACTGGGTAGTTTAAAAAAAAAAAAAAAAAAAAATATGTGCTCGCAATATATTCCTCAGTTTTTACTCATATACTCTTTGTAGAAAAAAAATGTCTTAATCATTGCACTTCAAGCAAGGCAATAAAGCCACTAAGACACAAGGAATTATTGAGGAAAAAGGACAATAAAAGAACCAGTTTAAAAAGAACAGATGATGATGACTGCAGGAAAGTAAGAAGCAAAAAGAGGATTTCACAAGCAAGAAGTGTGAGAAGAAACTATTAGAATAGAACTTATGGTTGTATCTGCCAATCTAGTATTACATTTCAATTTCTTGAAATTGAGGAACCAAAGATGAAAGCTCATTGAATAGTTGCCATGAAAATATTTATAGAAAAAACACTGGAAGGTTGTGTTATAGCAGTGGGAAAGTGATTGAAGCCAAAATGCCACATCTGGACTAATAACATTGCATATTATTCTTTGGATTTTGTCAAGAATCTCAATTAACATCTGCAGGAAAGATTAATATCTGTAAACTCTGTTATGAGAAACTTCAATGATTAAGGTGTTGAAATAAAGACTATAGCATTGGAACATTCTGCCTCTTTTGTGAAACTAACTCACAAAGTATAAGGAAAACCTTTGAATTAAGGTATGTGACAAATGGCAACATTGAAATAAAATTGTTCAAAACTGAGCTGCATTGCTAATAAATATATTAAATTTAACAATTTTTTTTTCTTAATCATTTCACCCCCAAGCAAATAAATAAAGTCACTAGAATGCAAGGGATCACTGAGTGTTAGAGAATGAGAAAAAACACTATTAAGGAGAGAGGACAAAAAACAAGAATAAAGAAGACAGAAGATAATGATTGACATTGCATTTAAATTTTTGAAGATCAAAGTTGCCTGGAAAGAAAGAAGAGTTTTACAAGTAAACTGTTAGCATAGAATTTATGGTTAAATCTATTTCAACTGTAAAATGATGAGACCATGCCACCAATTTAGTACAACAATTACCATGAAAGTATTTATAGAAAAGGCACAGGGAAGCTATATTACAGTGGTGGGAAAGAGACTGATGCCAGATCAGGACCAACAATATTGCAGATTTTTCTTTGGATTTTATCAAGAATCTCTAAATATATAGCACGAGCACCAGACCAGATGTGGCAGCAATATTCAATGCAAGGACAAATAGTAGACTTGTATAGACTTTGTAAGATAGATTCTGGTGAGAAAAACTGTTAAGCACAATATAGTGAACTAACTTTCTTAGCTGCAGACTTACCACTTGATTCAATATACTCTTTCCACTTCATGTCAGCTGAAAACATTAGTCTGAGAAGGTACAATGAGTCACTCTCTTGGATGGATCAGCTGATCCACTCTTGTTCAGAAAATGAATTTGTCAGTCTTAATTTATATAGACTTCTGTAACTCATTAGGGCAACACATGTACTGTAGCAGTGATGTGTCTAGTGCAAGGTAGCCCAATGAAGCACATACATTTTTCAAGCTGGTTTTTGCATTTAGTTTTCATTCTAGATTTGTTGTCATCTCAATGCTATAGTCCTTATGTAATTGTTTACTATAATTGCTGTTTAGAAATTTTGCAATAGACCTAGCACTTCATCTCTAGAAACAAATATGCATAATATTCTTAGACTCTTTATCAGTTATAACAGCAATAAAAGAAATTATCTAACAGTAAAGAAATAGTGTTATGCTGGATTCCAAGCCACATAGGAATTAGAGAAAATGACAAAGCGGATTCAGCTACAAAATCTGCACGAGATGAAACCCCCTGATAATAATTTCAATATCCCTTGTATCTAAAAAGTAAAATAAACAGTTGCATTTAAAAGAAATGGCAGAAGTGCAAAATTGTGTACAAAATATATGTAGTTGAATCCATAAAATTGCATACAGAATAGAATTCAGCATTAAATAACCCATAGAAATTGATACACTGCTAAACAACCAAAACAAAATTGCAATGTATACAACACAAATTCTTAACCAGTCATATGGTTGTGTAATTTAAATATCATGACTGCTTGACACAAGATGAATATCTGCCTTCCAATTTTTAAAATTGTTTTTTTTTTCTTGTTTCCAGTGAAGAAAGGTTCATGGATCAGTGGGTTTTTTGATAAAGACTCTTTTATGGAAATCATGCGTCCTTGGGCACAGACAGTAGTTTGTGGACGAGCCAGGTGTGTATTGTAGTAAGGGATAGAAAACTGGTATTTATTTTTGTTTTTCTAACACATCGTGTTAAATTCCATTTTTTTAATGTGAAGGTTTTATTGCAAATAATTGAATTTTTCAAAATTCTTGTTTTAATCAAAAATGCATGTTTTTCATAAAATGTAACTTAATAATCCAACACATTCCAAAGTGCTTTGTAATTTTAAAAAATAATTTATACTAAAACAAAAATTTAATCTTTTAGACAAAGATTAATTTCAAATTAAAATTTTTCAACTTATTAAAACTTTTTTATTTGCAAGACAAAAACAATAGCAAGTAGAGAAAAATTTCATTAAATACTTTTCAGTTATGTCGATATTTTAATGTTTAAACCTTTTTTGCCGTCTTTCAGACTGGGTGGTATTCCAGTAGGTGTTGTTTGTGTGGAAACTCGAACTGTTGAAGTCACCATTCCTGCTGATCCTGCAAATTTGGATTCTGAATCAAAAGTAATTTTAATTTAATATAAGATAAATTGTTGCATGTACAAATAGTGCAGCTGTTACAGATACATGTGTGTCGGGTGGCACGTGTACTTTTATATTGTACATAGCCATTTAAAGCTCTTCATGGTCAATACATGTAATTATTTCCTGCTTGGTGGGTTAGTTATCTGTTTATCATTTTTCATTTTTACCAATGGTCAGTGTTTGAGCCCAAATTAAACCTGTGCATATGTAAGTTATATATAGATATTCAATCTTGTAATTAATTTAATTACAACTACATCCTAAATTATTATGGATATGTTCAAAATCATATGACCATAATAATTATTCTGAGGCAGACATATACAAGATGAATTGTTCTTTACATTATATTAATGAAACTTGCAGAAATTTACAATAAACGTATTTATGAACATAGATATTCTACGTAACAATTTATTTAATTCATTAGTTATATTCAGAAATAATTTCAACCACAACTTGATCTCTCAAATGCTGTATTTATGATAGAAAATAACTTTAGATTCTTAAAAGAACTGCTCCTTTTCAAGCTAATATATTTATATATAAACATAAAAAGTTAAAATGAAAATGGTTAATTCATGACTTTTAAAAAAAAAAAAAAAAAAAATGTAATAAATATAAAATAAAAAAAATATATAAAAATAAATAACAATATAACATTAATTCAGTTTTGTTTAATATACCAAAAACTTAGATCACTTAGAGTCCTCCATACATTCCTTTTATGCAATAAGATTTCAGAATATCTTAAAGCATTCACTAATTCAAAATTTAAATGCTTAATGTTATTTTTCTCTGCATTGCTTCTGCGTGCAGGTTACTCAATAAAATTTCTTCTTTTGTCTTGTCTGAGACTAAGTTTAGGTGCCTTTTGTCTGTATATAGAAGCTAATGAACCACTTTCATCTCTGAACTAGAACTATAATTTAACCCAACATACCAAAGAACATAATCCTTAATATATTAAATTTTAAAATAATAGACCAACAGCAATTCCCTCATTTGGACTTTGACACAATGAAGCACTAAAACAAGTGAACAAAAACTCTGATGACAACTCCATTCACAATAAATATTATCCATGGGTAATATCTGAACCTCACATAGACCTGACACAAAAAAACAAAAAAAAACATGAGTGAAAACAAATATGGAGAACTGGAAGATAAATACAGCAACTGAAAATATAATATATATATATATATATATATATATATATATATATATATATATGGGTAAAAAATCCTGGACAGAACAGGTATTGCAGTCATCAACATACAAGTTGTCAAACAATATGTCTAAGCTACAAACCATAAAAATGGTGATTGAAATGATCAAAAACTCAAGACAGAAAATTCATAATATTCTTAGACTCCCTATCCAGCCCAAAAGCAATTATAGAAAAAACTCCAAACCACCCTTATATAATATTAAATATTAGAAACCTATCACTATTTGATAAAATGCCACAAAATAATAATCTTGGCCTGGCTTTCTAGCCATGTAGGCATTAACAGAAATCAAAAAGCTGATGCACTGGCAAAAGAGGCAACCAAAATGACAATAACAAACATTAGACTTCTGTATACAGATTACAAAAATAAGATCATACAATACATTAAAAGAAAATGACAAACAATTTGGGATATATTCCCAAACAAACTGTACATCAGTCTACAGTCAAACTGGAAAATAGAGAATGTTACCTGATCAAAAACAGGACATAGTGCAAACTGGATATGCACACATATTTACTCAAAGCAGAAAACTGCACCTCAGTGCTTCTCTTGCAATCAATTACTCACTGTTAAACACATCGCTGTAGTCTGCAAAGAATACAAGAAAACATGCAACAAATATGATGTATAAAACCTTGCCCTGCTTTTCAAAAATGTATCCGTTTCTCAAATTAGGCTGCTTCCTGCATTCATAGAAAACATAATGTATTTTATTATATATAAACCATATATCTAATAAAAAAAAAAAAAAAAAATAAAGAAAACATGTTTACCCAGAAAGTATAAAATTGCACACAAAACATCAATCTATATTTGTCTTGATAAAGTTCTTCAAAGAATGAAATGCCTACCTTTTCTTAAGGTTAGCAGGCACATTTTACTTGAAAATTTGTGAACTTCTTATCCAATCTAAACAAAAATTTTAAAACTTATTTTCTCATAATGCCAGTAAAATAAGTATAGTAATTTTTAAATTGAATTTCATAATACTAGACATTTTTAATTTTTTGTTTTTCTCCCTCACTGTAGAATATCCAACAAGCTGGTCAAGTATGGTTCCCTGATTCAGCCTACAAAACAGCTCAGACCATAAAAGATTTCAACCAAGAAGAATTACCATTAATAATCTTTGCCAATTGGAGAGGATTTTCTGGGGGCATGAAAGGTAGAATTTTATTTAAAAATTTGTTTTTATTTTGCAGAATGCTTCATATGGTGTATAAAGACTGATTTGTATTTCTAATTACAAATTGTTCTTTTGTCTCAGTCTAGCAGATTTATGATAAATTTCTCTAAACTTTTGAGTGTTAGAAGAAGAAAATTGTTATTCAGGAATAGATTCAGGATCTTGAGCAGCGGGAGGGTTCAAATGATAAATTCTTACTTTCTTTCAGTTCAGACGTTTTAGCATGAGAAGTGACAAGATTGACGTAATAAAAAAAAACAAAACATAGAACCAATAAATTAACAAAAAATTATGAAGATTAAAGACATCTTAATTGGGCATGTGCAAAAATTCTCTCTCTCTCTTGTTTTCTCGTTCTCTCACTTACTTCCCCCTCCAAATATAATTATTATATATGAAATATTAAACACAATTTTTAGTAGACTTTTTGATTCTCTGTAATTTTCTTTAAAATTGAATAATTTAAATCCTGCAAATCATTCTTCTGATTTTTCTTTTTCACCAGACATGTATGACCAAGTGCTAAAGTTTGGCTCTTACATTGTTGATGCTCTTCGGGTGTACAAAAAGCCAGTGATTATATACATTCCTCCTTATGCAGAGCTACGTGGGGGTGCTTGGGTTGTGCTTGATCCCACTATTAATCCAACCCACATTGAAATGTTTGCTGATGAACTTTCCAGGTAAAACATTTTTATTACAGAACATTCCTTGTTGCATTTATTGGATTAGGATTGCTGATGATTTTCTTTTTTTTTCCATTTATAATTCTGCTCAAAATAGAAAAGCAATTGAACTTAGAATCAATCAGTATTGTTCAGAATTCTCTTTGGTCATTTTGGCTAAAATCAGGCTCTTATAAAAATAGCATTTTCAGTAAAAAGTCAACTGTAAGAACATATTTTGAGTTCTTAAATTGGTAAAGTTTAAAAGAAAAAAAAAAACATCTCTAATTAAATGTTCCAATTAAGTTTAAATTTTTTTTTTTTTTTTTTTTTAATCCTTTCATCCCAATAAAGCCACTAAAATGCAAAAAGGTTACTGAGTGTTAGATAATGAGAAAAATTATGGATTTAATTTGGGCTTCATTTGTTTTGTAATCTCATTTCGATAAAAATGTAGTCCTGAGTATGACTATAAACTACATCTGGCAGTAAGGCTGCTGATTGGGAGATTGGAGATTTTGAGCAGCGTGGACCAACTTAATTGCGGCTGTTTCCTGGTTCACCCTGACCTGGAGTGGTAGCATCTGTTAGAATCCCAGCTATGGGCAAATAGTGAATTCCCAAACAAAACACTATGAAAGTATAAAAATACATAATTATAGTAAAAATACTAGCAATACAATTTTAAAGCAAAATGACCAATAATACATTTTATCTGTAGTTGAAACCTTAAAATTATGTTCAAAATATTTCAATTGTGGCAGTTGCTATAACTTTGGATGTGTGGTATAATGCATAATGACTTGAAATTGTTAATTGAAGAGCTGTTGGTTTCATTAAATTCACATGTGCAAAAACCATTGAAGAAAGGAATGTATCTACCTTCTCTCTCCCCACCAGCTATGATTATCTCCAAAAAAAATTCTTACAATCTAAAAATATTTCCTGGCTTTAAATAACCTCCAAAGGGCTAAGTCATAGAAAACAAACCAATTGATCAATCAATTAAAATGGATGACTTTATAATTGTAATTTTCTTTAAAAACCAAATCCTTGACACGAGTATAATGTGTTTCTGTTAATTTTTCCAGGGGTGGTGTACTTGAACCTGAAGGAACTGTGGAAATCAAATTCCGGCGAAAAGACATTGTTAAAGCAATCCATCGGATTGACCCTGAATGTGGCAAACTTGTAGAAAAGCTGAATTTTCCTGAACTGAGCCGAGATGAACGCAGTAACCTTGACATGAAGTTGAGCAATAGAGAAAATGACTTGCACCCTATCTACCACCAGGTGGCTGTTGAATTTGCTGATCTACATGACACTGCTGGACGTATGGCAGAAAAGGAAGTCATTACAGTATGTGTCATTCCTTGTAATAATTCACACACTCATTATAGGATATATGTTTGGTTTCAATAAAGTTATCTAATTCATAATTTCTGAGGTATATTCAGTTTGACTGCAAAACTATTTTAAAACAAACTTTGTTAAAAGAAAAAAAAAATTAGTTCCTAATCATAAATTATTCTTTTCCCTTGACCTAAAATATTTAGCTTGGTTAGTGAAGATAATAATGGAATTGGAGTCATGGTAAATTGAGTGGGGAGCAATTAGTTCAAACTGACAATCTATACCAGATTGCAGTTGCTACTGAAATACCAGCTTGTTTATTGCTTCATTTCCTCTCATTCAATCACCAAAATTTACTGTGTTACTGAAGGAGGGGGTGCTGAAAAACTTTCTAAAAATCTGATTAATCATTAGTTCTTAATTTTTTTAATTTAAAATTTTTTTAACATTTTTCTTTTTGTGTTTTGTCTGTATTTCTTTTGTCTGTCTGTGTGTATTTCTTTTTTAACCAAGTCTTTGTTCAACTGAAAAGCTTCTAATAACCTTTTCATCTATGTAATTGTTAGTGAATAAAAGTTTTGATGTATTAATAAAGGCTCTTGTTTGAATCAGGAGTATTGGATTAGCATTTTCTTTTTCTTTCCAGGCAATATTTAATAAGTGCCTGGAAAAAAAATTATACTTATTATAGCTGAATTTTTGCCAATTTAATTTAAACTTATATAACAGAAAAGTCATTCACTTATTGATAGCTGCTTTTAATTTAACTTATCTTGAGTTTCTCATTAAGACATGAATAAATTCAATTTGTTTTTTATTTGCAGGATATTGTACAGTGGAGGACAAGCCGTGAATATTTCTACTGGCGTTTGCGTAGGAGACTCTTAGAGAGTCAGCTGAAATCAAAAATGCTGCAATTTACTAAAGATCTTCATGATGGCCAGTTGAATTCAATGCTGAGGCGATGGTTTGTTGAGGACCAATCTACAGTTAATGTGAGTGATTTATAATTTATCCCTGAACAACTGTAGGCGTGTCATTACTTTGTATTCCTTACAGAAATGATTTAAATTCAAACAAGTATTCATCACATTTTGATTCACAGGCTTGTGAAATACGTATTTTCCAACAACCAAACAATACCTAATTTGCAGAATTTATTTAAAATTTTTTTTTTCTCTTTAATGAAATTGTTAAAATGTTAAAAATTATTGTCCATATTAAAAAGACTGATGTTAATTCAAATTCTTTGCTGTTTGAGATTTGAGAAACTTTGTCTACTATGAGAATCTACTTAAATATTTTGATAATGCAATATCATTATTTAGGAATTAATGTGATAAAGACTACATTCACTTTTTATTGCACATACAAATCTTGGAATGTTTTTAGTTATCAAAGGATTTTTTCAAGTGTCCATAATATTGTCTTCAATTTTGTTTTAAAACATTTTTCTTTCTCCCTTTCAAGAAGTCTTAATTTTTTTGTTATACCTTTTGCTTGTGGTATGATGCAGGTTTTCTGGTTTTAAACACATTTTATGTGAAAATCACAGCAATCCATTTTTTAAAAGTTGAATATGAAGATAGCTAGCCCGTGCGCACACACACACACACACATGCATTCTTTCTCTTCTGTATTATATATTTGATCTGATATTTTGTAGGTAGACATTATATAGTATGTTCAAGACATTGTTATTCACATTGACATGTCCTTTTTGCATGTTTTTCTGTTCTTGAAATGAGCAGCAAACTGATCCTTTTACAAATGACTGACAATGTTGTGATACAAAGAATAGGCTCTATTTAAAAAAATTTCTCATTTCAAAAATGATGCCCTTACACTCTTTGTATCACACCAATGAAATGGAAACCTCATAGAGACTAATATATTTTGATTTAGCAAAATTGCACAAAATAACTTTACTTTTTAAATAAATTTTGCTTATGTTAACTTATTATTGAAATAAAGTTCATTTTAGAAGGAATACTAGTAAAATTCTTTTTCTTCAGGCTTATCTCTGGGATAATGACAAGGCAGTTGTGGAATGGTTGAGAGACCAAATGGATGATGATGGCCTGCATAATGCGATTGCTGAGAACATCAAATGTTTACAAAGAGACCATGTCATTCAACAAGTTAGAAAGTTAGTTCACTTCAACAATTTTTATATTTCATCTTTCCCTTACCTTAATTTTAAGCTTGTTTTACTTTTTTTTTTTTTTTTTTTTTTTTTTTGTTTCTCTCTCCCTCCTCCCCTCTTTCTCTCTCTCTCTCCTCCTCCCCCTGTTTCTCTCTCTCCCCTCCTCCCTGTTTCTCTCTCTCTCCTCCCTCCTGTTTCTCTCTCTCCCTCCTCCCCCGTTTTCTCTCTCTCCTCCTCCTCCCTGTTTCTCTCTCTCCTCCCCCTTTCTCCCTCTCTCTCTCCCCCCTGTTTCTCTCTCTCCCTCCCCGTTTCTCTCTCTCTCTCTCCTCCCCCGTTTCTCTCTCCCTCTCTCCCTCCCCGTTTCTCTCTCTCTCTCTCTCCCCTCTCTCTCTCTCTCCCTCCCCGTTTTTCTCTCTCTCTCTCCTCCCCGTTTCTCTCTCTCTCTCCTCCTCCCCGTTTCTCCTCTCTCCTCCCCCCCCATTTTTCTCTCTCCCTCCCCTATTTCCTCCTCCCTCCCCCATTTTCTCTCTCTCTCCCCCCCGGTTTCTCTCTATCTCCCCATTTCTCTCTCTCTCCCCGTTTCTCTCTCTCCCTTCCCCGTTTCTCTCTCTCTCCCTCTCCCCCTCATCTCTCTCTCCCTCTTTTTCTCTCTCCATCTCCCTCTCTCTCCCCCCCCCCCCCATTCTCTTGAGAAGTTGTCCCTCATTCTCCCCCCCTCCCCGTTCTCTCTCCCCTCCCCGTTTTCTCTCTCTCCCTCCCCGTTTCTCTCTCCCCCCTGTTTTTTTCTCTCTCCCCTCCCCCTCCCCGTTTTTCTCCCCTATAAATAGGAAATTTTCTCTCTCCCTTATATATATATATATATATATATATATATATATATATATCCTCTATTGATAACCAGCCTATTTGATGTTTTTTTTTTTTTTCATTTCATTTCAGCTGGTTTTACTTTTTTATTAATAATGTTTCTTCCAAATGGCACTGATAGTTACTTTTCACTGAATCTGGCTGTTAATTGACTTTAGTATACCATTCCAAAATTGGGTTATGGGCATAAACTTGTGATTAATGCTGAAGTTTTTCAATTTTTTTTTTACTAAATAATACATTAAAAAATACATAAAATAAATGAATACCCATTTATATAAATGAAAACTCTAAAAAGTTAATTTTCAATCCTCCTTCAATGAATGCCATGAAAACTTTATTTGCATTACTAGTTTCAGCCAAAAATGCTTCAGCTATCAATGCTATCATTTTAATGATAGCTGTAGTCATTTGATAGTCAGGACCTAGATGGGTGAGCATTTGGGAATACCAGGTGCTGTAAGCTTGAATCTACTGGTTGTATAATGGGTAATGGTTTGGAATTGTTAATTGGAGAGCAGAGTTCCAATTCCTGTTGGGTTTGTTACATTCACTTATGCACAAATACCACTGGGAAAGGTATGAATCCACATCTTCTCCCCCAGCTATGAGTTAATTTATAAGATTTGTATCACTAAATCATTGATCAAAAAAAAAAAAAAATTCTTAAAATTTAAAAATATTTTCTGGCTTTAAATAAGTTGCAAAAGGTTAAGCCATAGAACATGACTCAGCCTCCAAATTAGAATAGATTATCTTTGAAGCCATCTTTGATTTGTCAGTAACATTAATTTTGTATAAATAACCATCCTTTTTTAAACAGCAGATTTGATCTAAAAAAGTTTTAAAATTTTGTACTTAATAATACCCCCTGATGCCAGTCATGGGCAAAGACTTTCTGGATGGCTTGCCTAATTTAAGCTTAAATATCATTTATTAAAATTGTATTTTGTTTCATTCTCATTTGTTCTCCCACACTCTTATACATAAACTCATATAAAAATGATTAAATACAATGTTTCTTGAATTTTGTAAACTTTTGTCGAAGGTAACATTTTTGTCATTGAAAACCATTAGCAATTTTCATTAAGGAAGATCATACTTGTAAACCACTTTTGCTTTAGGAAAGAGAAAACAATTTTTTTTTTCTCTCTGGAGAAGAAATATATTTTACCTTTCAAAAGAAAAAAAAAATATAACGCTCTCTCTGTCTTCAATATTGAGCATTCTACCACAAAGGCTGATTGCCTTAAATGCCTCATCAGCAAACCACTGAAAAACCAGCAATTTTGGCATCAAAAACAGTCTTTCAAATTAACACACACACTTCTACTATTGGGTTACTCCCTACAAAACAACAGGATTTTCATCTTCAACACTAAAAAAAGAGCTCACAAAATCCATATAGCCAAAAAAATAAAAAAAAAACAGATACTTCTTGCACTGAAACTACATGGGACATAACTTTGATTTCACTAAATCCAGCCTAATTAAAAAAAAGAACATAGCCTTTTGAGGAGAAAATATTATGAAAAATATTTATAGCATTACTACCAACTATAAACATGCTCAAAACATTACAGCACATCACCATCTTTCTACAGATCCATTATTCATTAATCTAACTTATGTCTATATAATAAATAAAATAATGAAAATATACAAATCCTTTTTGAAATATGTTAATGATAAATCAAGCCAAAACATGATTATGACAATATCTTGCTGTACTTCACCGACCCACACAAAGGTGACAACCACAGACATTCCCCACATGAGAATAAAAAAGAAAATCCAACCAAATATAAATTACTGCAACATTTTGCTACATTTCACTGACATAGGGTGACATCTATAGACATTTCACATACACACACACACACACACACACACGAGAATTAACGTTATTATCCAACATACACCTAGACAAAGAAGTGTTTCTTTTACATACACTTTAACATCCAAAATGTTCCTCACACATATTTATATATTATCTATTGGTCAGATACATGTGACATGTATCTCTGACCAATAAGAACTAACCAAAAATCATAACAGTACTCTGTGTCTTACTTGTTCTTATTTTATCATAAAAGATAATATGTAGATCAAATATAGATTGGAATCCAACAGGATAAGATAAAGAACAAATAAATGTTTATCAATCTAAGATGTTTCACTTTTATTAAAACTGAAAATACCAAAGTTTTGTCTTTTTGTCTGTTTTATCTCAATCTCTGAAGCTTCACTTTTATTAAAGTGAGACCTGTTAGATTGATAAATGTTTCCTATTTGTTTTTTATCTTATATCTCACACAAAACTGTATGTTAATGACAATGTTGGTCATTGAATGTTTCAAATTTTTAATTATAGAAAAAATATTTTCTCAAAAAAAAAAAAAAAACAAACAAAAAAAAAATCAACTCTCTCCTGTAGTGAAAATGACTGATACTATCAAAAAAAAATTACCTTGCATTTTTGCCATGTGGACTTCTTTATGATGAGCTATTTTATGCAGCCCACTCCTCAGAAAAGGTTGGTCATGACTGCCCTACACCATCATTCTAAATAATTTATTAGTGCACAAAATGGTTAAAACCAAGCAAGTGTGGTGAAGGGAGTAAGTGGGCTAAAATCTTAATATAATATCAGTAATATAATACCTACAAGATATTCATACTGTTGCTGTTTGTATTTTTCAGCCTGATTCAAGATAATCCTGAAGTGGCTATGGATTCCATAATCCATATCACTCAACATATGAACCAAAGTCAACGTGCTGAGATATCTCGTGTTCTTGCCAATATGGATACCTGATTGGTGATGTTGACCAAACAGCTACCGTCATCTTCATCTGTTTTATATATATATATATATATATATATATATATATATTTTTTTTTTTCTCCCTTTCTAATCATCCTCTTCATCGTTGCCATGTAAATGTTAACACTGCCAAAGTGCTTAAGCCAGAACATGAGTCAGTCATTTTGGTTATGAATAAATTACACTTGTCTGCTTCTGCTGCCTCAGCTATATGGTGCAGTTCTGAAATGTTGTCTCTCTTTGCAAATAGATTTTCTATGCTTGGATTTTAGGATTTGGGGTTTTAGAGACATCAAAGAAACGAAAGCAAAGGTGTTTCTGTATTGTTTTATCTAGCAATTAGTTTTACTTTGGGCATTTATAATTTTTTTTTTAATTGTATTGTCCAATATTAATTGAATGATGTTAATTTTTGACTAGTTTTTCTTTTCTCTTATTTTCTTTGTGCTTTTTATTTAAAAAAACAAAAAATGGAAATAAGATGAAAGAAAAAAGTCCAAAAAAAAATTAACAAAAATCTGACAGTTTAGAGACTTAATTTAATATTAAAGCATTTCATGAATCAAACTTTAGAAAATAGCTTTAATTTTCTGAAAGAAGAAAGCAAATTATATATATATATATATATATATATATATCATTATTTACTTAAAATTAAAACTATTTTCTGAAGTTTGATTCATGAAATGTTTATATGAAATATATACAGTCTTTTTTTTCTATTTTGTTGTAATATTTCATATACAAATCAGTCCTTTTTGTAAAAGGTTACGAAATATTTTAAAGGCTTTTGTTTAAACTTTTTAACTTTTTTTTTCTCTTGTGTATGTTAGACATTCCAGTTATCATTTACCAGATTGTCATTTTGCAGGACACTATATTTTTCTGGTGATAACCTAAAATGCTGGGAACAGAAACTTTGTTCAATTTTTAAATGATAGTACGAAGAAAGCTAAGGTTTTGTGGGAAAATGGATTCTGTTCAATGTTTATAATGATCAGGCTGTTTGCATGATTGCATTTATAAATGTTTGGGATGAGTGTATAGTTTGAATAAAATTAGCTTTTCCACTAACTCATCAGTATACTGACATTGTGGTTTTTTTTTTTTTTTTTAAACTATTTGTTCAGTTTTCATATTGATAGAAAATTTATTGGGGCTTAATATAAACATCTATTTTCAGCATTATATAAATCAATATAATGGCAAAAGTAAATTGAAACTTTTTTCTATCCTTCATTTTGGATCTGACATTCATTTTCAGTAACAGCCTTTTTGACAATTGTTTTAAATTAAAATTTTGCCATATATTCTGTAGCTAAAATGGTTGTGGGGGTGACATTTTTTATTTATATTCAGAAATGTTCAGTGAAAATGTTTGCAAATGAAATCTTGAATTTTTATTTTCAGTAATTTTAAAAATAACAAAAATGAAAATAGTGTTTTATTTTCTAAAGAATTTGGTTGACAAATAATATTGCTTGTTAACATCCTTGACCGAGTGAATCTCATTGTGATATCTCATCAGAATAACATTGGTGTCTCCTCATGGAGTCGTATCAACATTAGAAACTATACCCCCGCCCAATATTACACCGATAATCTTTGTGTTATGAAATTGTAATAGATTCAGAAATGGGTAGTTCATTCATATTATATATAAAAATAAAAAATTTTGCAGGTAATTTTTAAAGCATAAGTTCATGATAGAAGACTGGGATGATGAATAGTAAATGTTATTGAGTTTAATTTTCAGCCTATAATTTGTAATAAGAGGACAATGAATTTTAAGTGATTGATGTAATGTTAGAATTAACAGAATTTTCCTTCAAGTACCTAATTTTGCTAGTATACAATATATTAACACCTTTGTTTGATTGAAGAGGGTGCCATAAATCTGGGATGGATATCTTGTCCATGTGATTTCTTTGTATCTGTTTAAAAAAAAATCTTTTTATTTTTTTATTTTTAGCATTGTTCATAAATCCATGTCTCTCTTTCTTTCTCTCTTTTTTTTTTTTCTTTTTTCAAAGTGAAAGAAATTTCTGTGCTTTCACCTTTTTTCATAAGTTTTGAAAGCATAACCATTTTAGAGTACACATTGATAATATATTTATTTGTAGCCATCTAAAATAACTTGGTTACAATCTTAATTGTAATCCTTTTCCTTGCCACAAAATCTCTATTGAAGAGAAACTTTTATGCAAAGAAAAAATAAAATGGGGTGAATGAGAGAAAAAACTATAGGGAAATTTAATTTGCCAATTTTTTTCTCTGTATGTGTTGATATTGCTTTGTTCAAAAGAAAATACTAGCATGCAATATGTTAAAAAATTCTCAATTTTATAAAATATAATTCAGATTTATAATATAACCTTTTTGAAGGTATATTGTAATACATATTTTAAAACTAAACAGTAAAATGATTTTGTTAAGAAAGTGAGGATTTCAAACTCATTGTCATTCAACTCACAAATGAACAAGAAAAAAATTAATATGAAAGTGTGATGTTCATGACAACTCTTCTAAATTATATGGTTGATATTACTTGCATTGGACAGTAATTTTTTTCTCGCTCTTCTTATGATTCTGAGGGGAAAAATAATGGTAAAACTGTTAGGGCTGGATTTTTTCTCTCTTTCTTTTCTTTTCTTTTTTCTTTCTCTTTTTTTCTCTTTCTTTGTTCTTTCTTTTCTTTCTTTCTTTCTTTCTTTCTTCTTTTCTTTTCTTTTTTTTCTTTTTCTATTTTTATTTTCTTTTTTTTTTCTTTCTTTTCTTTTTTCTTTCTTTTCTTTTTTTCTTTCTTTTCTTTTTTCTTTCTTTCTTTTTTTCTTTCTTTTTTTCTTTCTTTTTTCTTTCTTTTTTTCTTTCTTTTTTTCTATCCTGATAGTAAATAGTTTGTACTAAATCAAATTTTTGCCCAGCTTATTTGCATTACCAGGAACTGTTTTATGATCTTCATTTTTTTTATTTCTTTGATGAGAAATTTTCTTTCCAATTTAATATGGACCTGTTGTTGGGTTTTAACATTTTTTAATTTTTTTGCATTTAATTTTCAAGAAATCTGTCTTAAACTTTTTTTCTGGTCTCAAAAATTAAATGTGTTTTTTTTTTTTTTTTTTTTTTTTTAAAGCAGATGGGGGTTGGGATTTGCTTCCCATGTATATCAATTGAGATGTCATTTAAAATTTTTTATTTTTTGTCATTTTTATATACTCTAAAGGCTCTTTTTTTTTTTTTTTTTTTTTTCCTCTCTCCTCTCTCAATATCCTCACTTTCTGAAGAGAATGAAGTATATCTTCCATAATGAGATTATTAGTAAATTTACTTCATATTTTGTAGGTGTGATACATTCACAAAGTGAACACAATGCCACTTTGTATTTAATAAACCTTTTCACATGTGATATGCAGATCTTTCTATTCAGATATTAAAAAACTATTCAAAAACTTTAATATGAGTCACCCAAAATCTTTTGAAGAGAAGAAATATTCGGGAATAAAAATACTTTTTTTTTTTTAATTTTTTTTTTATTTTTATTTAAATCAGATAAAATGAGCCCGTGTAGATACAGATTAATTTCCTGGAAAAAAATACATTAATTCTCAATATTAATTGAAATAGAATTATTTTACTACCATATTTGATAAAATTTCCTTTCTGATTTCTAAATTATGAAGCTTGACACAGTAAATATAATTCTAAATTTCCACATCAGTATGAATTATCAGAAAGCTGTCATTAAAAAAAGAAAAAGCTTGATTTCATCTAAATAAAGTTCCTATTTTGTAAGAGTTATATAGTTATTCTCTTAATGATTCTTGACCTATGGTCACATCATGTTGAAACACTGGTTCCCACATGATCACTGAAGTTAAGCAACGTTGACCCTAGATGGGTCACTATTTGGAAATACCATGTATGGGTGGTGTAATGTATAACACAGAATATGAAATTGGGGAGCTGATTTCCAATTCCAGTCTTTGGTTGTTTTTATATTCACTTATGCACAAATACTCTAGGTATGAATCCACCCCTTTGTCCCCCAGCTATGGGTAAGACTTGAATCACTAAACCATCATTTTCTTCCCCTCTAAAAATATTTTCTGACTTTGAATAACCTGCTAAGGGTTGATAAACCGTAGAAACTAATCAATCTATTCTCATGATTCATAGTGTATTGTTCTCTTCTGTCAGAAAACAGTTTGACTTTGTATGAAAGATATGATAGACCCTTATTTAGGACATGGCAGAAATGCCTCCCAAATACTAGTAAGATGTTAGTGGCAATGGTGTCTTCATCTCTCTAATGTCTTATCATTATCGTGGAGGTATTTCTGATGCACACTGTATAAGAAATTAAGTCACGATTTAAAAAAAAATGTATTTTCCAGTGACTATAATTTTTTTTTTTTAAAAAAACATTTTTAATTATTCTTCACTTACACAAATTTCGACAACTATATAGTGAAATGATACAAACTTTTAAATAAAAATATTAAGAGTATAAAGGTTTTTTTTTTTTTTTCCTCTTCCTAGTACATTTTTGTCTCACGAAAAATGACTATAATTAAAAATGATATCTGATTATTGAAGGAATAAACCTATGGTGACTCATGACTTTATATATAGGAATCTCCCACTCCATTAATAAGTTTCATTATAGAGAAAGATGCACATCTCTTTTGGTTTCTAGTATGGTAGACACTTGTTGGATATGTCTCTTTGACATTGCTGGCCTTCTGCTGTTACCTCTATTACTGCTTTGAGCTTTGAATAGACTGTGGCTTGATGGAGGGAATTTTACCGCTACCTTCATACTCCTCTTGCCACTCTGCTGGGAGATTTTATTGACCCCATTTCTGATTTTTTAAAAAAAAAAATTTTTTTTATTATATATAATGTACAAAGTGAAACGTGAGGAAAAATCTCATTGGGACCAATTAAAGTTGTTTAAACTTGAATTGACCTTTTTGTTGTTATTTAAACAGATTTCTTTTTATAATGAAAGAAAATGTAACTTGATTAGTCATGAAACCTTATCACCTCTACTTAATAAGATATTCTATTATGTTAGAAAGAAGCATTACTCTATCTATAACAGTATGTGAATATGCATAGTTTCCATAATGGGATATCTCATTAATAAGTAATGAGTACAGGTGGTGAATTAATTTTCTTTTTTCAGTTTTTTTTTTTTTTTTTTTTTTTTTTTTTTGTTTTGGGTTAACTTTCATTAAATATTTTCACTTTGCATAATTTTTAAATGCAATATTAATTATGTAGATAAGAAACCTAGATTACACTTGTAAAAAAAAATATATAACCAATATAATCTATGCATAAAAAAAGCCAGTTATGTGTGTCTGGCTAAAACTAAACAACTACATTAATTAACGACACACACACACACACACCTATATATAATTCATCCTCTCGCATGCTTTTCTTGAAAGAAACAATGTAAAACAAATGCTTATTAATAACGGATTTCCTAATCATTTGTTGGATTTCCATATTAGGTATTATCTGTCTAAGGTAGCTAATAGCAATGATGAGAATAAAAACATAAAAAGTAACATTAATATTTTTTATAAAAATCAAATGAATGAAAATTATAGACAAGATGAAAGTAGAATTAAGAACATTTTAAATTAAAAAAAAAAATGCACAACACCAGTTGACAATAGGAAAATAATTATTTATTACAAAAAAATTTAAAACTTCTAACCTTTATAGTTAATAATTCACCCCTTAGAACAAAATTAAATAGGACAAATATTATTTACGAATTTAAATGTCGATTAAGGAATTGTATTCCTGATCAATCAAAATTCGTAAATAATTATATAAGCCACACTACAATGTTTGACATGAAGACTCACTCTACACCTTTCTGACCATAGCTTAATTGGATCTCATTTAAATATTCATGGAGACCTACCGGACACTATTTGTAACATACTTGTTGACAACGCTAATATAATTGCATCATCTACATGCAAAAAAAGGCTATAAAATAATGGAAGCTTTATTAATAAAAACAAAAAACCAACACTCAATAATATCAACTATGAACATGGACAATATCTTTAACGTGTTTTGAAAATGAAAACATATAAATAGATACATGCAACAAACTATTTCTTATTTAAGTTAAAATATTTCAACCTTGAAAATGACTAAATATATAGCCGAAAGTACTCAGATAAAAAAGAATATTTGGGAAGTTTTTATATAATTTATCATCTGAAAAGAAAACCTTATTAGATTGCATGAGAAATTGTATATAAAAAAAAAAAAATCAAAGCACCTTGTCTGCCCTATTCAATGAAATGTGCCTGAAAGAAGCTGCCCTAAAAACACACTCGTGCCTATATATATATATATATATATATATATATATATATATATATATATATATATATAATGGAAAAATATACATATACAAAAATATAATTCCAATGGAATAAATTATGACCATGGAATATTAGTGTTTAAGCCTTTTTATTATATATATATATATATATATATATATATATATATGAAAGAGACAGTATCACTAAAGTTTGCTTTTTGTAAAAAAAAATTATGATTTGGATTTGCGAAGTTAAAATGCATTAGAATGCATTTAAAATTCTCAGAATTGAAAATGAAGAGTAATAATTCTTATTCTCTTATCATTCGTCTTTACTTTTGATATTTTTGAAATGCTATACATGTATGTATTTTTAAAATTTCTATTCTCTTGAATTTATTTTCACATCTATAGTAAATAAAGGCATAACTTAAAAACAAAATTGAATATTAAAACGACAAAGCAAATTTAAGAGTATTATAATTATTTGAAAAATTTTATTTATTTATTCAAATATTTTGTGTGTCCTGCTAAAACTAAACTACAGTAATTAATGACAAAATAAATTTGGAACCAATCAAGAACAATTTGGGAATGAATTCTATTGCCTTTTTTTTTTTTTTTTTTTTAAGTGTTAAGACAGATATTGATAATCAGGCAAACGGATTGGACCAGCTGCTAAAAAGCATTTCATCTGCTCTCCCTCAAGCTTTGGGACACCAAAAAATCCCACGGTCAAAAGAATTACTACCAAGAAATACTTGCATACAAATTAACAAAGACTCTCTCTCAAAAATACACACACACACACACACACACACACAAAGGACTTAAAGACTTTAAACATGAGAACTTTTATAGGATCTTATGAACTCTTTGAACAGTGTATATTTTATTTTAGGAGATATAAATTTTATCAGTACATGCAATATGTATTTTTGTATTAATTATCTTTGCATGCATTTTTAAAAGGCCATAAATTGGTATATATTTGGATAAAGGACATTATCTGAAGATAACCACCTGTAAACCCCTAATTTGGTGACTTTCACACTAACAGACTTGTACACCAGGACCTCAACCCCCAACACAAACTCAGTATCACTCTAAAGGGCAGTTGTTATATATATATATATATATATATATATATATAATATAATATAATTTTGTGTGTATTATTGACTTAATATTTTTAGTTCATCTTATGGAAAATAATTTTTTATTCAATCTTTAAAAAAATAAACTTCATTGTTTTTTTTTTTTTTGGTTTTTTTTGTGTTACTAACATGAAAAAGTAAACAATTTAAATGGTTTCATTAAATCAAAAAACTATAGCAAATTTATTTTTTGAAAATTTAAACAAAATATACTTCTGTAAAACAGATATTCAACACAATGTTGACTGTAAGTCATGCCTGTTTCTGCTAATTTTAGTGTTTTTTATTTATATATATGTATACACACACACACACACACACACACAAATATAATCCATTTTAAAAATAATTGCCTTTCAAAACTAAATTCTGAATGTATCTTGCTTCTACTTTCAAAATAGTAATTTCATTTACAGAGAAATTTTTGCTTCTTTAATGTAATGTTTGAGTAAAACTTTATTTACTTAAAAAAAAAGAAATCTAAATTCCCCTCCAAAATAAATAGCAAATATTTTCCAAGAAATAAGGCTTGCTATAGATTTTGCTTGAAAAAAATGATTAAATTAAATATATCTTAATTTAAAGTTTACTTTTTTATTAATAATTTGAAAAGGGTTAATGAACTTTTATCTAAGATTGATTTGTTTGAAAACATTAACAGAGTATTTGTTAGTATTTAAATTGAAAAATAAAGTGTCTTTTGAATAAAAATATGGTGATGCTCAGCCTGCTAAGCCCTTTCTGGAAAATGGGATACAGGTTCAATTCCTGTTGAGAGGCCTGATTTTTCTTTAGTAGGACTAGGATTAAGGATGGTTGTTATTAATTTTACTAATGTAAGAAATTTAAAAAAACAAAACAAAACCTGGATAGCAATTCAAACACGTGTACCAACTAAAAATGACATTTATAGTTATAGGAAATTATTTTGGATTAAAAACAAAATGACATTTATATATAAAAACTACACCCACGAGTGTGATGGATAAATTGTCTAAATTATGCAAAAATGAAAATAACACTGACATCTCATTTTAACAGATATATTTACCAAAATTACACAAAAATATCTTGAAATGCTAAAGAGTAAATTTATTCAATAAAATCAACCACAACCTTCAGACAACTTCAGAATCTCTTGCAACTCTTCTGGATGGTCTCCTTGTTTAAGTTGGTGAATGCTTCAGGTCACCTGTGGTTTTACAAGAATTTTTGTTGGCCTCTTGCTCAACTGCACCCCAAACAAAAGTCAATGGGGTTGAAAGTCTGGGGAGTTAGGTGGCTAGATATAAGGGATGATGTGGTTGCAGGAATTGTCTGACAGGCATGACTGGGTTCTCTTGCTTGTGTGGCAAGGTGCAGTCCTGTTGCCAGACATAGTGCTCAAGGTCACTGCTGGAAAACCCTATCTGTTCAAGGCACTTGATGTAGACATCCATGTTAAGTTTGAGGCCCTCATCAACAAATTCAGGAGTTATTTTCTTATCAAAATGAGTTTTCTGAGCTGGCAATACCTTCATAATCACCATTACACTCATCCAACTCTTTCCGAATCCTCTGCACTTTCTTCAAATTGACACCCAAACACTTTGAAACATTTGTATTAGAGCACGCCATTTCCAAATTTCTGGCAGAGTGAATTGTGTCAGGGTGCTCTTTTTCTCACAGATATAGTATACTGTACAGCTGACAAAAACAAATAACATGCATATATGAAATGAAAAATATAAAATGACAATTTATCCATCGCACCATATATATATTGTGTGTGTTAAGATAAGTGGCAGATGTCCCTTTTAATGTATTGATATAAAAAGGACGTGGTATACATACAAGGTGTTATGGGAAATTTCTTTGACTAGTATTTCCTTGTAGGCCCCATAATCAATTCCAGTCATGTGATTTTTGCCCACATTTTTTGGTGTTTCACTGCTGATTGATCACCCTCAATGCCCATCATCTTGAACTGAGGATTGACTGACCTTGAAACATGCATGATCGTCAAAAACTTTACCTAAAGGTTTGCCTGGGTCTTGGTAGCTGATTTGCTGAGCTTTACACACAATTTTAAGCATGCATTGCTTGCACTGGTTAAGCATTAGACTTAACATGGATGTCTACATCAAGATGGCAGTCATTACAAAACGTGTAATAACTTGATTAGATATCACAAAGTATACTGCTAGACCAACTTTCTTAGTTGGGTATCAATAAACATTAGGAGGGTGCACATTATAGGATTGTATCATCAACAGAAAAGTATATGTATGTTCATATGCAAACCCTCTAAAAATAAGATGTTTGGTCAGATTTTGTTGAGTCAGGCTGAATTTTTTTGTTACTCTCTTTGTAATTTAAAGAAAAAAGCATAATTGTACTTTTAAAAAAAACTTTTGGTGAGTGAGCTTATAACTAAAATATTTAATTAAAATCTTTTTATAGATAATGAACTTGACCGATTTCTTAATTTTTGCTTCCTCTTTATTCATAGTGTTATTACAAAAATATAAAAAAAAAATTACAAAACCTATCCAGTTGTAAAAAAATTGTAAGAATTCCAGAATGTATAAATATAGGGTGGGAAGCTTGTTCATCATTGTTTGATGTTATAAATACAGCAATCCACTCCATTAATAATAACCCATTAACTGTTGTTGATGGGAATTTCTCTCATAGTAGCTCTTCAGATCAATTACAAACAATGGAAATTTTTGACATTGCTATTAATTGATTAGCAAAGAATTTCTCTCACTATAAAAATTTATATTTCTGCTGATGAATTATAGAGAATTAGCAACTCTACAGAATGCTGCTACTACCAAAAATTTCAATTTTTTCTTTTTTTGGTGAGGGGGGGGGTTCTTTGACATCTTCTCTCCTTTCACTGTTATTTTCTTATCAGTAGTTACCCATGTTTTCTTGTATTCCTAACCTTTTTACGTATTCCTTACAATTATTTCTATAATTGTTTTCTTTCCACCAGAGATTCCACAACTACCTTTCTCTTTCAGGCTGTTCTTATTTCTCTTACTGACTTTGTTTTTTAATCCTTTTCCTCTCTACCACTCATTCATTTCCCCCCCCTCTCCCTCCTCCCCTCCTCTCATTCCTGTTCTTACTCTTTCCTTTTTTCTTTCTTTCTTATCTTCCACTAGGTTACCTCTTTTTTTTCTCTCATCCTGTTCTTTCATCTATCTTCTCTCTCACTCTCTCTTTTTCTCTCTGACCTTCCATTGGATTACTTCTTTATTTCATTCTTCTTCTTAATCTTTCCTCTTGGCCATCTCTCTCTCTCTCTTTCACTTTACCCCCCTCTCTCTAATCTTCCACTGGGTTACCACTCTTTTTTTCTCATCCCTGTTCTTACTCTTTCATCTGGGCCATTTCTCTCTTTTTCTCTCTCTCTCTGTGACCTTCCACTAGATTACATCTCTCTCTCATCTCTGTTCTTACTCTTTTCTCTGGGCCACTGCTCTCTCTCATTCTGGTTTTCCACTGGGTTATCTCTCTCTCTCTCAACTAGGGAATTGTCTTAAATATTTACCATATGCCCCTGAATAAATCCCCAGTGAAAATGCTGATATAAAACAACACAGGAGACTGTCACCTATTTTGTCAATGTTCAAGTCCAGATAAAAGTTGGTTTTCAAGGCAAATCGTCCTACACAACTTGAAGAATTAATTCAAAACAATCTTTCATTTTCTTTTCATTTGGCTTCATGCTGTGCTGATTAAAGCTGAATAAACATCCAGCTAAAGATGATGGTAATGTCATATCAAATCAATTAGGCAGTCTGTGGAAACTTCAAACCCGTATGTTTACCAATGCCCTGAAATATGATCATCAAGAAGAATGAATTATTCTTTTTAGCAAACAAAATTTTAGCAAAATTTACATTCAGACTATTGTCCTCATTGTTGTTGTTGTTGTCATAACGTTTCGACCATTGCACCCTCTGGCCTTGGTGCTTGTCGATCTGAGTAACCTATGAGGATTTTTGAACTGAACACTATTTAATCTACAGGGGCAGGTTGCTCTTTTTTTTCCCACTCTCCGTGTCTAAGGATATTTCTCGTCTTGTTCTTATTTTGTACTTCTCAGTTATAACTTGCCTGTTTTCCAGTGTGTTTAAGACTGCACTATCCAGTCCAGAGATCAAACTCAATTCCTATGTCACAAAATTCACGAACTAATTTTAATCTAATAGGTTATTGTCTCGTGGGACAATCAAGAATAAAACTTGTAGCCTTAAGCATAATCTACCTACTGCTGACACACTTGACTGCATTCACTCGACTAAAGTTTATCCGGGTCGACAAGCAACTGAAGAAGGTTACAGCAGCCGAAACGTTGACATAAAAAAAGATGAGGATAATAGTCTGAATGTAAATGATAATTTCTCATACCAGAAATTCAGAAAAAGATTTTAGCAAGTTTTGGGGGTAGGGCACAAAAATGCACATTTAAATCGATAAATTTTACGCAAATATATATTATATATATATATATATATATAGAGAGAGAGAGAGCTTTATTGAGTAATGATGTATAAAAAGGATGGAAATATATATAAATGGAAATTGTTTTTATTTTTATTTACTGCTCACATCCAGTTTCGGTGGGTAAGATCAGGGAGAGATCCAAGCAAAGTGTATGTCTTATTGGCTGACGAACTCTCATTTTCTTTAATAAGTTCTCCCATGTCATCTCTGTTAAGTAGAAGTTCAGGTGTATAACGACCTGATTTTGTAATATAATTGAACGTCTGCGCGCTGCACCAGGGTGTTGGAACCGGGTAGGTCGTATGAAAATGAGTAAAGTCTACAATATGCGAACCATTGCAATCTGTCGAAGTCGCCAATGGCTCCAGACGATGACCCCAAATTATCTCCCAGGGCAGATAAGACGTTTTCGCTTGCACTGTCCGACCGGTAGTTGACACTACGGCCTGCAGCATGATCACAATCTCAAAGTTCTCGTGGCGTAGGCTGTCACGCGAGATGTTGTAAAAAGGTGAAGTCTCGTCGATTACGTGATAGACGTTGGTGGGCCAGACGAGGAAAAGCTGACTGTGTCCGTCTTCTGCTTTGAAGCTGACGTTGAAATACTCAACAGGAATGTTGTTGCCAGACTTGGAAAACGTTTTCTTGATGAACAAGCCACGAGCCGACGCATTGATAAGGTGGGATTTGCGCATGTCTCCGACACGGAAAACAAACTTATACTGTAAGTCCTCTTCGACAATACATGCCACTTTACTAAACAAAATCGTACAGGAGCGTTTTTTACCTCGCTTCACTTTCGCAATGACCAAGCCACACAGGGCTGCCTGCAAGGCGGCTCCCAAAATGGACTCCAAAAGTACACCCAGAACAGCACTGGGACATTCTTCGGAAACAAACCGAGACCCGTAGCCGATTGTGGTCATTGTTTCTATGGAGAACAAATAAGCTGTAGTAAAGGAATGAACGTTCTGGATACAAGGTACCCAGTCTTCAGGAATGTCATCATCGAAGTCACCATGCAGATGGGCCAGAAGGTAGAAGTAGGTGGCGAACAGCAACCAGGCCACGATGAAGGAGACGACAAACATTAATAAATTCCAACGCCATTTGACGTCGATAAGAGTGGTGAAGAAATCCGATAGGAACTTTTGATTGCGTTTACTGATGCCCGTTTGTTTGATGTTGACGTAACCACTGCGACTAATCAACCGGAACTGCTTGCCCGGACGCAGGAAGTTGCGCATGGCTGCAGCGCCGCCCTCGCTCCAAATGCTGGGCAAAACTGCAAACATAAAAAGGAAATAATACATTGAGAGATTTTAATTAGATAATAAACACTTAAAAAAGAAAAACAAAGGCATCATTAACTAATCATGAACAGTGTGACTTGAATTGCTTTTTTTCCTGGTAATTTTTTTTCACGCTAATAACAAATAAACCATCGCCAATTCGAACGTCTAAGCTAGAGGCAACAGGGAAAATTATATATCACTTACGCTATATGCCCTATAAATGAATACCGTTAATGCTTGTTTTCACCGGTATGGAAACCTGAGAGCCATTTTCTTGTTCTGGTAGATAAATGTCCTTAAATGTTGATTTATTGATTTGTGTGTGTGTGTGTGTTTTTTTTTAACGATTTATCAACC